TTTTGAAGTCATTTCCCTAACACTGTTCATAATCAAGTCTTGTGAGTTTATTGAAATGTTTTGTGCCTTTGTCATGTTGTTGGTTAAAGATTGTTACTGAATTATTAAATTGCATTTTGTCTACGAGTGATGGTTTGTATAAATCCAACGTGATAGCAATGGCAATGAAAAGTGGATTAAGTCTGGTAAATTCCGACGATATGCACAGCCCAACATGAGGTTGGACGCCATTGATTTCTGTTGTTGTGTAAATGCCCTCCTCACCAGAAGCAGCTTTTCCTGCCTTGCAAGCACACCATTCATCGTATTTATTATAGCTAGATCTTGGCCGACCCCATCAGTGCCCCCAGCATGCGGCTGATGAGTTTAAATTTAAACACAGTGATGGGAAAAGTGTCTCGAAATACCCCTGCCCGCTTTTATTCTGGAGGTAGGCTATTAGAAAGGAAGATAACCTGTTTGGCAGCCGCGAGACTGTGGCAATCTCAACCCCCAATAGAAAACCGGATCAAAAACCTGAGCTTTGATACGCCAACTGCTACATTTACATGTGTGGAAGTGCTTGTGTTGTTTTTACTAAATCGCATGGCAATGTTGTTCTGCTCCCTTTTGTGCAGACTGCAGATAACATAACAATCAGATTTTGGTTTGTTTGTTTTTTTGCAACCCGATGCCAAGATCTGAGTGATAGCATTTCAAGTATTGAAAAAAAAACATTATTCTTGATGCAACTATTAATAAAAGGCAATTCTATACAGTTAACTTCCTGGGACCTGGCGTCCACATGTGTGGACATGACGTTTTGGGTTGTCAAGACTACAATGTTAAATTTTGGACTACAAGGGCCTGGCGTCCACTTACGAGGGCATTACATCATGTAAAAAGATAATAGTTTTTTTTTACACTCATCAGGTCCCAATTAGCCTAAATATCAAAGAGAAAATAAAAATAAAATAAAAATGCATGCCTTGCAAGAGTTCAGGTCTTAGGAGGTTAAAGGTCCTCATTGCAACTGAACTTGACCAGCTATGGTTGCAAATTTTGCATTTTCCGATGAAAATGTCAAAAGCATTATTAAACCAACTAATTGCGATTAAAACAAAAAGAAACAATAATAAGTAAATTATTAATCTGCACAGACCGTAATATTTTCAGGAAACTTGTTTCTTTCAAATGCAAGTAACTACTCATCTGAAATATGTCACATTTTTGAAGTCATTTCCCTAACACTGTTCATAATCAAGTCTTGTGAGTTTATTGAAATGTTTTGTGCCTTTGTCATGTTGTTGGTTAAAGATTGTTACTGAATTATTAAATTGCATTTTGTCTACGAGTGATGGTTTGTATAAATCCAACGTGATAGCAATGGCAATGAAAAGTGGATTAAGTCTGGTAAATTCCGACGATATGCACAGCCCAACATGAGGTTGGACGCCATTGATTTCTGTTGTTGTGTAAATGCCCTCCTCACCAGAAGCAGCTTTTCCTGCCTTGCAAGCACACCATTCATCGTATTTATTATAGCTAGATCTTGGCCGACCCCAACAGTGCCCCCAGCATGCGGCTGATGAGTTTAAATTTAAACACAGTGATGGGAAAAGTGTCTCGAAATACCCCTGCCCGCTTTTATTCTGGAGGTAGGCTATTAGAAAGGAAGATAACCTGTTTGGCAGCCGCGAGACGAGGGCGAGACTGTGGCAATCTCAACCCCCAATAGAAAACCGGATCAAAAACCTGAGCTTTGATACGCCAACTGCTACATTTACATGTGTGGAAGTGCTTGTGTTGTTTTTACTAAATCGCATGGCAATGTTGTTCTGCTCCCTTTTGTGCAGACTGCAGATAACATAACAATCAGATTTTGGTTTGTTTGTTTTTTTGCAACCCGATGCCAAGATCTGAGTGATGCAACAATTCGATATTGATGGAAGCCTTTCCTCGCCCATCTCAAAAGCCCGGAAATGATGTTATCTTCAATGCTGAGTCAACACTTACGGTTTGAGAGTGATGCCTTATCATTCCTGCCGTTGATCAAGCAGGATGATGGATAAATTTGCAACTTTATCTTCTTTTGTAGGTGTAACTGTCAAATGTCTCGATCCTTTTAGAATTTGTACCAAAATGTAGCGATCGGTTAGTGTGTCTGTTAAAACCCAAGGACAACACAAAAAAAAGGGATGTTTTTGTCCAGACTTAAAGCAACCACCCGAAAGCCGAGCTTTAAAAGGCCCATAAACTTCACTTGTAGAGCACAAAACCAGAAGCATCTGCTATCTTGTATCTGTTTTACGCTCACACTGAAAGAGCACTCTTCTCACGTCAATGACTGAAATGGAAAATGAGCACGTGAGCACCTTTGAATATCCCCCTTAGAAGAATGTGCGATGAAACAAAAGGCCAGAAAGAGCATACACACATACTTAAGCAACAGTAGCATTTGTCCTGCATTCCGCTTCCTCTGCTTTATCTCAAGCCAATGTAAACACATTGCCTATGCTGCCTGTTGGCTTCCTGTTCTGTACTCGATGATTTAATGGCTGAGCTCATGGCGATGCAGTGAAACATCCTCTGCAGCCCACAGTTCAACACTCAATGAGAAATTGCAAATGAAACTACATGTGCGAGCTAACAATGAAAACAAATTAAGCACACCTCTTTTTTTTCTTTCTTCCTCAGTTCAATGATCATCACGTAGCGTATCTTGCACTCTCATGGTCACTGGGTCCCAGCGTATTAATCCTGCTATTTGTCCAAAGATATGTGTTCAGTGCATTACATTTTTGCTTATTTGCAAGAGCCCACTCTCGCTTCCATTTCTGCTCACCATGCATACCACCACCCGTACTTTTTGTTTTAGCAGTTTTGTTCACCTCGTCGTTCTCAAAATCTGCACTACTTTCGGTCACCCTTCTTTTCGACTTTGTGCCTCAAACAACTGCAACGTTGTGCCTCTAAAAATAGAACTAACCTTGTTTATTAAGTACAGCAAAGCATAACAGAATGCTGCATTTCATTCTCTTGGTGAAGTTACATTATGCTGATATAGTGTCATTATTAGTCCACAGGCATGAACAAAGTCAGTCTGGTTCCAATATCATTTTCCTTCAATATTTGCCCTTTTGTTCAATTCACTTTTTAGCTACTAATCACTTTGTGATTGGGTTCGCCAAGTCCAGTCTCTTCATAAGTAGGAGGGCTCGCACTTCCTCTTTGTAAGTGCAGAAGAACCAAATCCTAAGATGATGTCGGACATGTCACCCTATGTGGCAAGACGAACAAAAATTCTGATATGTCAAACTTTCGTCATTGTATTCGTTGAGTAAGTCACACTGCACGGGCCACGATGCGTCAAGACAACTCAAAATGGGCTGCGAGACACCATTTTGAATGATTTTTTTTTTTCAACAGTGATGAAAGTTGTCCGTCTTGCCTCAACTTGTCTCCTCAAGTCCATACTCCGCTAGCCAAACATAATTACTGTGTCACACTCAACTCGTCTCAGCACGCACGGCTTCTTGTGGTTGCTGGCTCTCCTCCCACTCTGCGCACCTGAAATGTATACATGGTCTTGGCAGCGGCCCGTCGCCTTAATCGTGGGCGGTCCCAAACAGGATGATCTTGCTGAAGAGCTGTCGAAAGAATTTCCTGAGAAACAATGGTGACACAAAGTTGCTCTGCGTTCTGGCTTGAAACCCCAGCAGACGCATCCAAAAAAGCAAGTCACCGTATTGATTCCTTTCCCCAATTTGTCTATCAATATTGCCCAGCTGGCTCTCAAGAGCCCGAGTGCACCCTTGGCCGGAGCACACAAATGCTCGTATCAGTTTGTGAGGGGAGGGTGGTGATAAGAGTTTGCTTACTGCCAGCTGCCAACATTTGGGTCAAGGACCAGCGTGTCACGTTTGCACAGCAAAATTAGCAGCCAGTCAGCGGCATGAAAGAACATTCCAGCACAGTGATGTGAGATGGCGTGATGCACTGAGAATGCTCCCTTCTGAATTGTGTGCTTTTGGTCGTTTCTATGAATACCTTCCCACCCAGAAACCTCTCAGATGCTGAAAATTTACCTCCCAGCATGTGAACAGTGCGCCGTTTGTCCTGCAACTTAACACAGAGAGCATTTACCTTGAAAGAAACTTGACAGGACCGCGCCCTCGACAGTTTCTGTTGAGCCTTTCAGGCCTGAGGGAAGCGTGTTTTCTTTCCTCAGACTGCCCTCTGGTGGCGCCTCAGGTGTATTTTTGTATTTGCTCAATATTCAGAGAAGCACCCATGTTTAGTTAGCACAGGGTAAACACTTTTAGTTAGGATCTTCTAGCCATAATGTCAGTTCATTTAATAAAATAATAGTTAAATCTATATATTATACTGATTATATTCCCCTCCCCCCAGCGGAAATTCTCAATACCGTATCATTTATGGACAAGATTTCGATTTCAATAATAAAACCTGAATCAACATGAAGTCTAGAGGAGCACAAATCACCAGTGCGAACCATGTCAAAAACACTGCGAGTCCTCTTTGTCAGAAGTGTGACATCCAGTGTTGCCTTGACGATGATGATATCATTATTGACGGACTTCAAGTCCGAGAAAACAGATACGAGTTTATTTTATGCTCCTAACTCAAAATCATAGCTCAAATAATTTTATACGACGGAAAAGAATGGAAACCCCATTCATCCGTTCTAGCCTTCCTCCCCAAAAACATTTTTGTAATGTGTATTTCATTGAGGACAAATAGCACTCCATAATATTATACTTAATGAAAATATGCTGTAAATACATAATTAAATAAGCCTTTCAAATAATTAAACAGCTATGGTCACACTGCACTGATCTGATTGAATGGCCGTTGTGCTGTTCTATCTGGTGTGCCAGTCTTGGAGACTTGGCACCAGAGTCTCCATTCCTCTTAACTCCTCAAAATTGAAAGTAAGGTTACACTGCTCTCTGCTGTCATCAATGAGTACTCCAGGCTTTGACTCGCTTGTCTTGCAGGTGTTTCGATGCCCTGATGGTGTACTTCCAAGCTGGCAGGAAGGAAGAGCCTTACGTGACAATCACCAGGAAGATTTACTTGAAGAGGGGCCAGGGCACACGCACCGAGTGCGAAGTCAGCCGCTCGGAGCGCATCCTGGCCACACACAGGAACGCCTTCAAACGCACCACCGTTATCCAGGCTTTCCTGGGCTCCACGCCGCAGCTCACGCTCCAGCTGTACGCCACCATCCAGGAGAAGTACATCCTCCCCATCCGATGTAAGACTGACCACAAGTTAGCAAGACTGGGCTTTTGGCTGCAATTTCAGGCTAAACCTCAACAAATTTGACAGTGACCCACCAGGTGGCGCTAACGGCCAGAAACCTCGCAAATACCCATTTTGAAATGCATATTAGGCCGGCATGGTGGAAACTGGTTAGCACATCCTTTCCAGGATTCAAATCCGGACTCTGGCATTCCTGTGTGGAGTTTGCATGTTCTCCTCGTGCCTGCGTGGGTTTTCTCTGGGTACTCCGGTTTCCTCCCACATTCCAAAAACATGCATGGCAGGCTGATAGAACATTCTAAATTGTCTCTAGGTGTAATTGTGAGCGTGGATTGTTGTTGGTCTCTGCGTGCCCTGCGATTGGCCGGCAACCAGTTCAGGGTGTCCCCCGCCTACTGCCCAAACACGGCTAGGATACCCTAAAGCACCCCACATGACCCTTCTGAGGATAAGCAGATCGGAAAATGGATGGATGAGCATTATATGGGAAACCCCGCATGGGGGATAGGGACCGCACCCACCTCAGGAGAATGTGCAAACTCCACACAGGGAGGCCGGAGGTGGAATTGAAGCCACGACCTCTGCACTGTGAGGTTGACGCACCAACCACTGGAGCACTGGGCCACCCACATATAATGTAGTTTTTTAAATTCATTTTAGATCAAAAAATATTTTGCTCCAAAATGCTCAAACTCCGCGCTAAATATCATTTACAAGTCTGGTTTGCAGACAATGTGTGTTGTGCTATTGTTGTCTATGACGACATTATCACAACTTCCTGGTGGTTGATTTATTACTCCGCGTGGAAAAAGAGAGGCGTCAAACAGGGATGTGCAGTCAGGGGAGGCAGAGCCTCTCCTGTCTGCACGTGAAGAGTGGAAAAAAACAATGATTAGATTAAATTGTTTTCCATTCAAATTTTCTGGTCCATGCTTAACATTGATTTTTTTTTTTCCAACCCAGTCATATGAGTTCTTATGAAAACAGCGAAATTAGCATATTTCCTGTTCAAATACACGGACCAGAAGGGAAAGAGAGGCGCTGCGCCTCAAGCAGCTCTGCACACATTAATTGATGCTCTTTCTCTTTATGTCGCTAATATACTTGTACATGTGGTATCACACAAAAATTAAGTAAAGGCAGCTCTTTTATTTTGGCGTTATATATTTAAATCCCGCTTCAGACGAGTCCGTGCCTCACCAGTCTTGAACCTCACCACACGTCATTGGCGTCTAGGTGCGGCGCTTATTTTTATTTTCTTTTTAATTGGATGACACACCCGGCTACTAACTAATGCACGTCAGAACGGAGGCATCTTTTTGACAAAGTGTGGTAACATTACTGTTGAGCTAGGATGAAAATATTCTGATTATCGGACTAGGCTGCATGGTGGATAGTGGACATGTCTGCCTCGGAGTTTTGAGGTGCAGGGTTCAAATCTCTATTGTGCGGAATTTGTGCCGCTTTCTTAAAAACGTCATGGTTAGGTCCATTCAAAACTCGAAATCATTCCTAGACCACATAAACCGTGGCCAATTTGGACAGGCTGAATGTGAATTTGGGCACCACATGCGGTCGAGTTGCGCCGGAAGTGGCGTCATGCAGCCGAAAATGCAGCCTTTGCAGGACCCAGCCTGTATGAGGAAATTGGTGACTGTTTTCACTCAACAGCCAGTACTTGCCAGAAATTCCTGCAGGTCCATCATCCTCTTTGGATCCTCTCTGACTATTTTCCAATGCACTCATCCACACATTCAATGTAGTACTGTGCGCTTAACACAATTGATCATGTTGCGTACTTTTTGCAGTGACTCTGATGATCATCACCAAGATCTCCATCATATACGGGGCCCTGGTGTGCAGCGTCCTGGCCATCCAGATCCGCTACGACGACTACAAGGTGCGCTTCCGCCCGTCCGCCTACCTGTGCATGATCCTGTGGCGGGGCCTGGAAATCACCACGCGCATCACCGCCCTGGTACTCATGAGCACGGCGCTCACCCATTGGGTGATCCTAGTGGGCATGGCCAACCTGATCTTCTTCTTCTTCCTGCCCTGGGCTGAGTTCTGGGCCAAGAAGGGCTCGCTGGCCAAGGACGTGGAGAAGAACTTCTCCAAGCTGGGGACGGTGGTAGTCTTGTGCTTGTTCACACTGCTCTACGCATGCATCAACGTCTTCTGCTGGTCGGCCGTGCAGCTGGACCTCAGCCACGGCGAGCTCATCGACCGCAAGCAGCGCTGGGACCGACTGGCCATTTACTACAGCGCCCGCTTTGTGGAGAACCTGCTCCTCATCACATTGTGGTACTTCTTCAAATCGGACTTCTACGAGTATGTGTGCGCGCCGCTGCTCGCAATCCAGCTGCTCATCTGCTACAGCCTGGCCGTGCTCTTCATGCTACTCTTCTATGAGTTCTTCCACCCGTGCCGCAGCCTCTTCCGGCAAAATGTCCACGACTGCCTGCGTCGCATCTGCTGCTGCAGAGGAACAGGCCAGGACCAGAGGCATACGAGGAAGATGGCCCCGTCCTACTCCACTGCCGCCACCATGGTGCTGATGCCCGATGAGCCCCAAGAGCCACTTGACCCGCAGAACCTCAACAGTGACACGGATCAGCAGGAGACAGCCATACTGGACGACATCACGCAATATGCCTGAGATCGCAATAGTAGGAACACCCGCATCATCTGGCAGCAGTGATTTCCAACCAATGTTCCGGCTAAATCAGTGAGCCGTGTTGTGACCACTTTATCAGCTTTGCCGCAACAAAAGATCCCATTTCACTTAAATTCTCTGAAAATTATTTTTTATGACAAATGTTGTCTTTGTTAATCTATCTGTGCCAGTGACGTTTAGTGACAGGTGGAACAATTCCATAATCTTCCATACAGTGGTGCCCTGATGTTTAATTTATTCTGTGACCACACTCGTAACTCAAAATTTTCCTACTGAAATGAATGGAAATACCATTAGTTATAGCCCCCCCCCCCCCCAAAAAAAAATGGAGTAATCTGTTTTTTAAACTTGAAAGACATAAGATAGCATGAAACCGCCTTTGCCACCCTTGGTAACACTTGAATGGTCATTGTGCAGTTGCCCGGCTTGGCCACCTGGGGGCAGTATAAAAGACAGATATACCATACATGGATGTCTGTGCAATGTAGATCCCTCATGTGCCTGCGGAGGATAAAGCATATATGACTGGGAAGTGTTATATTGAATCTCTAAATGTGTACCATTTGTGTACAAATATGAATTTTTGGTCTTATGTGTTTGCCATTATCTGTTAGCATGAGCATGTAGCTACCGTACCCAAGGTTAAGCAACGTATTTGTTTTCAACACATGATGTGTAATTCTCCTAGTAAACTTCAACTAGGCGAGGCATGAAACAGTTTGCAATCTGTTTTTGAAAAATTACGGACTATTTGCTGCTTATTGTCTTGCGAGCTGAGTCGCCTGCCAAATATCAAGTTTGCGCTCGCAGGTCAAAACAAAAATTGTCCCAATGACGCCTCGTATCTCAAAAAAACTATAAATTGATGCGCCACGGTTTTAGTCAACATTTAAGCAGTATTTAGGTTTTCTAATATGAGCCAACTTTCAATTTTAGACAATACTCATTAATATAAATGACTGATTATTTGATTTGGAAAAAACTTGTGTGCGCGAGGACAGCCCAGGCTAAACTCCTCCCCATCATACAAAGCTTGTCCTCTGACAGTATGGATCACTTTAAATTACAGTTCTTGGACCAGTTGCTGGCTGGATGGAATTTTTTACGTTGACGCCATCTTGTGGCATCATTGGCCATATGTCTCATTTGTCTCAGTAGCGTGAACTCTGAGCCTATTTGGTGTGACACAAAGCTCTCTCTTGCGTGAAATGAAACCGGTGGGTCCGCAGGTTCACTGGACTTTTGGCCATCTAACATTATATTGCTGGCATAGATAGATGATTAAAAATGTATTATTATTATTATTATTATTATTATTATCATTGGTTCAGGGTGTACCGCGCCTACTGCCCGAAGATAGCTGGGATAGGCTCCAGCATGCCCGCGAACCTTGTGAGGATAAGCGGATTTAAAAAAAAATGGATGAATGGATATTCTTATTATTATTGTTTTTGTTGTTGTTAATCATCATAGACATATTGTTTATAGTTCATAACATAAATGAATAATAATTTTCAGACCAATCAAGTGAAATTGGATCATTTCTGACAACACACTTATGTGCCTTGACACAGTGGTCGGGAATCACCGAATCAAAATCGGACAACAATGCTTAGTTGTGAGTGGTAATGGTGTAACAATGTGGTGATGATTTTGGTTGTAGCAGACTGAGAGCTGTTTCTAATATTTCGAACTAAAATGTTGACGTCACCCAGTGACTGCACTGAGGCTAATGTTTTGATATAAAATGTGCCATAGATGCAAATGAAGTTTAGGTGCATTGGTTCTAATTGGCTGATATCACTACGTCGTACTTGATGGGTGTTTCTCATACATCTAAATCAATTTGCATATTGTGGAAAAGAAAATACTTTGCAGTAGATTCATTCAGAAAGTTAAACTCATCTTTGACATGAAACTCATCTTTGACATGAATTAAAACACATACAATACTTTTCAGAAGGCCAATTCCCAGCTAATTTGTCTTTTGGAAATAACAGTAATGGTCTTATTTGAATTTCTTGAAATGGTGAATTTGGTGATTTCTTTAGCCCTCAGCTCCAACCATCCAAATTCTAAATTCTAAAATGTTGGTGTGGTTTGAGTTCAATTGCCAGGTGAAGATGTGAATGGGCCTCTGTCTCTTTTATGTGCCCTATAATTGACTGGCCACCACTCCAAGGTAAAGTTTGCCTTTCAATCGAGTCAGGTGCGGTAGGAATTCGAATATGTTGACCCTTTTTGTATAGCCACCAAAATACTAGGAACAGCTCTGTGTGATGCAGGAAACTAAAGCCGCTATACTGTTACTTTAAAAGCTCTCTTGACATCAAAACGGAGCATTTTTGTCTTTGCAGCTTTTCACCGTGCATTTAGTTTGCGCAGGTGTACCTACACATCAACACAATTATTGAATTTCTCAGAGAGCTATTCTGGTTGCCTTTCCCCCCTGGTTGGTTTTGCACCCCCTTAAGAATGTAGTCTATGTGGGACAAAGAATGCCTTGAGAGTGAACCGCGACCAAGGCAGGTGTGAGGGGGACGCAAGCCAAAAAAAAAAAAAGTGCGTCTGGGTTACTTTGCACAACCTTGTGTCTTCTCCGAAAGAGGTCGAACTCTAATGAAAAGGAATGAGTCGTCTTCATCTGCTCGTCAAACTGCTTGGACCGGCTGTGACGGAGGCCTCGCCTTGTTCAAACTGGTTTATGGTTTGGGCAAAAGAGACAACAAGGAAATCTGTGGGAAACTAAATGTGGTTGAGTTGGACAAGCAAACACAATCATGATTGATGGACGAACCCAGGAAAATTAAAGTTCTTGTGAAAATTTTGGGATATTTGGCTTCGAGGTGAAATGTTTGACACACACACACACACACACACACACACGCACACGCACACGCACGCACGCGCACGAACTTGTAAAGGTAATGGTGTTTTAGGTCCATGGTAAAATGTCATTCCCGAAAGCCAAATGTCATTAACATTCTGTTGAGTGGTGTAGACTGAATGTCACTTAGGTTGAAAACATAATTACGGTTAAAAAAAAAAAAAAAAAAAGGAAATGTGATGGTTTTCTAATTACATATCTACCTGTCACAATGGAGAACAAAGTTCACGTTATATTTCTGCCATTGAACGAGCTTCTATATTGATTTCTCACCATTTTACTGATAAATGTTCATGTTTGTTTGGGTTTTTTTTTGCATCCAGTGCCTTGACTACTTTATTGTTGACTTGAAACTTGAATAAAATAAACCGTGTATATTTAAAACCAAATTACATCCAGTATCGAACCCTGTTGACGTTTTCAGCAGCTATTTTTAAACATCTTCCATCCATCAAGGTTTCTCACACTTCCTCATTTCTCTGCTGTCGGACTTCCTGGCTGATCGGAATGCAGTCCTTCAGCTCCTCCAGGGAATACTGCACCTTTCAAGCTTCCTCAATTCCACATGCCATTTCTGTGCATGTGTGAGTTGGTGTTACTTCCTTGTGTACCAGATCACTGGCGCTTGAGGGAGGAGCCTGCAGCCTTTAAAAGCGCGGTGATGTCGCGCCTTGTGTGATCCCACTGAAGGTGTTCAACATGGCCAACTGGATTATTAACAATGGCGTTACCTGTGTCACACTGGTGAGCTGCTTCACATTTGTACCACAGATGAAATAAATGAGCATATTTGACCAGCTTCATATTTTGCAGGTGGTATGGATGGGCATCAACATCTTCCTCTTTGTCTGGTTTTATCTTGTCTATGATGTGGGGGATGAGTACTTTTACACACGGCATCTCTTAGGCGTGAGTCCTTCTGAAGTCTCCCCCCCACACACACACATATACGTATACTCAAACACTTCATCCAATTCCCTGACAGACTCATTATGTTTTGTTTCATTTTTTGGGGTCACCCCCAGTCGGCTCTGGCCTGGGCCAGGGCTCCCGCCGCCGTCCTGAACTTCAACTGTTTGCTGATCCTCCTCCCTGTGTGTCGCAACCTGCTGTCACTCATTCGGGGCTCCCTCGTGGTAAGATGTGCAAATATGAGACTATCTCAAGCGTCTTGTCCTGTTTTAAGAGCTTGTCCCATGTAATTGTAAGAGATACATGACTGCATGAAAAGACTACTTTTGGCAATGAAAGGGTGGGGAAACTTAAGAAGCCTCAAAAGACAACACTCAAATGCCCATAAATGTAACGATAAATAGAGTGACCGGTCGAGATTCGAGTATAATTTGTTACTAAACCAAGCTTATTACTCCGAGTTTTTTTTGTATCTCTAATCGTATTACCCCATTGAAATGAATGGAAATGGCATTAATTTGTTCCAGCCCCCCCCGCCCCCCAAAAACAACAAAATTAGGTGATTTTTTTTAATGATAAAAATAGCACTCTAGATTATTAGATTATATGATTAATATTATACATGTTTTTGATGATATAGTACAATTTGTGTTCAAGGATCTGTTGCAGAATGGGTAACACTACAACACCACATAAATGCTAACTGTTAGCCTGTTTGTCTGTGGAGTTTCCCATTATATGTTAGCATTCAGGCAGCAGAGGCGATGTGGTTCCTTTTTGTCTGTCTCTCAAGTTTGCGCTTGCACCTAAAAAAAAAAAAATATATATATATATATAAAAAAAATATATATATATATATATTCTTCTCAGGAGAAGGGCTATGACCCCTGCAAGGAAAAAGGTTTTGTGAATGGAAGGAACATTTCTAGGCAGTAATTTTGGACAAGTGGGAATAATTGGAAATTTAGACTCATTTTAAAAACCTGAGTCATAACATTTCAGAAACATAAGGAGCATAAAGTATGTGTTGTTTGTCATAAGAAGACATGGATGCATGCATCCAAATGATTTAATTGTAATTTTTTTTAACCGTGTTTGTTATTCAATAATCCGATACTAACTAATAGAACCAAAATGTTCATTCCCACTGATTCCATTGAAATCAATACATGAACTCGCATCCAGCGGTGCCTTGACATCCAAGTTTAATTTGTTCCATGACACTCGTAACAAAAATGTTCCTATCGCAAATCATCTTTCCTATTAGAAATGAATAGTAATGCCATTAATCTGTTTTGATCGCCTCCCAAAAAATTACAAACATTTGTTTTCAGCAGCAAAATAGCACTCCATAATATTGTTCATTAAAAAAAAAAAAAGAGGCTTATAACAATTAAAATGTCAGGAATTTTTGCCTGATTCAGTGGAAATTGTGTTCGCCTTTTGGTGTCGGCGCCTTGGCCACCTGGGTACAGTATAATACAGACACACAGATACAGTTCACATGAAGACCATTACAGTATCAAGTAAACTGTAATAATATTGGTCATTAATCAAAGAGGATAAAGAATATCTGCCTGATTTCAATTTGTTTGCACGAAACAGCTAAATTCTCTTTTTTTGAAGAAGAATTGCTGAACTATCCACCAAATTGTGATTTGTTGTGAAGGGTGTTGAGTTCAATGCCTCTATACAGTGTTCATATCTAAAATGTATGCTCATAAGTCAAAGCAAAAAAAAAAAAAAATCCAAACGATGGCTCATACCTTGAAAAACACGCAAGTCAAGTTACTCTTATTTGAAGGCACCACTGAATATGTATACTCTGTTATAAGATAAGATAAGATATCCTTTATTTGTCCCACACTGGGGAAATTATACCTTATTTATATCCATAAAAAGTTTCTTGAGTTCCGTGCCATGCATCTTTGGGTGTCCTGAAAGGCATCACACAGGTGTCGTTTTGTATTAGGATGATGATGATGATGATGATGATTATGGTTATTATTATTTTTCCTGAATGTATTTTTTTTTTTTTTTTGAGGAGCAGCTTCTCCGCCATTGGGCGTGATTAATTATTCAATATGAAATGAGAATTAAATATTTGTGCTTTTTTTTTCTTATTCAGTGTTGCAGTCGTAGTTTGAGGAAGCAGCTGGACAAAAATATTGAATTCCACAAATTGGTGGCTTACACGATCGCCCTGATGACAGGTGAGCTTGTCGCAAAAGGGGGCGGGTCTCAGGTGTACTGATAACAGATGATTAGGTTATGGGAAATGAGTTGTGATACTGTAAGTGTCTGTGAATTGAACTCCTCACCGTGACAAGTCATCGGGTGTATCTTCTGTTTTGCTTTATCAGGGAAGTGCACTCATGAAGAACCCTAATGTTTTTGTGAAATCATAAAAAATTCTGTATGTTCATGTACATTTTATCCTTTCCTTAAAAATGCAGAAATTTGATCAATCTGAGTCCCCTTACACAGAGGTCATAAATGTACAATTTAAATATTGACACAGGGTGATTCGAGTAAGTGTGACTACTCGAAGAGTCACTGATGGTGTCGTGGTACACTTGCCGGACTTGTTTGCGGGCAGCGCTCGGTTCCCACTCAGTGACGATGTGGGTGTGAATGATCGTTTGTTTCTATACATGCCCTGCGACTGACTAGCGAACAGTTCAGGGTGTCGTCTGCCTTCCGCCCAAAGTCAGCTGGGATAGGTGCCAGCAACTAAACTATGAGTCTAACTTTATTGTGGTTGTAGTGTTTGCAATTGCTTTAGTGGTGAATAACTGCACTGTATCCAACTGAGACCTGTTTCCACCCCACTCGAGTGGTGAAGTTTAGAGTTCAAAACAAAACCTTGATTGGTCCAGCTCTTTTGCCCGATCATAATATGTCACAGAAATGAACGTATTAACATGTTTGGTACCTCGAGTGTGTACTTTGTCGTGTGTCATATCTGACCCCTGTGGCTTCTCTGTGTCGTCTCCCTACAGCGGTTCACGTCATCGCTCATCTCCTGAACGTGGAGTGGTACAACAACAGCAGACAAGGCGTTTACGATGATCTCAGCACAGCACTGTCCAACCTGGCCGACACGAAAAACACCACCTACCTCAACCCCATTCGCATAACAAGCCTAGTGAGTCATCTTCTGCCTAATTTTGATTAGATTATTTCTGTGTTGAGTGGTTTAAGGAACCAAATATGGTTCCTTGCCCTCTACAGCACTCTAAATGAAGTGTGGCAAATTCAGGTCATTGGGATTCAGAAATGGCATGTGTGTATACACCATTGCAAACCACAGTCACATCACAATAAGAGTGTTGAATTAATTCTGTATGTCTATGACAGCATCAATAAAAGCTGACCATTAGTCTATAAAGGCAGAAGTGTGCTGTTGTCACTTGTATGGGTGTTCCTAATGAAGTGGCCAGCTTGGCACATATGACCTCAAGTTATTTTTGTGTGTCAGGATCCGCAGCAAATTCCCACTTACTTGGTGTTCACCACCATCGCGGGCATCACGGGGGTCATCATCACCCTGTGCCTCATCCTCATTATCACGTCTTCCATGGAAGTCATCCGCCGCAGCTACTTTGAGGTCTTTTGGTACACGCACCACCTCTTCATCATCTTCTTCGCCGGCCTCGTCATTCACGGCGCCGGGTAGGAGAATGCCCGCCATGTCCTCCTTTCCTCGCTTTCGTATCTATTGTTTGCCATCAACTCTTGGCGCGTCCCCTTCAGGCGCATCGTGAGGAGTCAGAAAGACAGCCCGCCGCACAACTTCACTCTCTGCAAGGACCGCAGTGCCGAGTGGGGGCGGATTCCCCAGTGCCCCGTCCCACAGTTTGCAGGGAACTTTCCCCAGGTTGGTCTCTTGTTTTGGAGGTAACGGAATCAGATTTATTGGCCAAGTATGTAAAACACGCAAGGAATTTACTTTCCCAGTTACAACCCATCCAGAGGAGCATAAACAAAAAATGACCAACAGAGGGAGAGATAATGGGAAGCCTGACGCTTTGCTGTTGAGCTCTCGATATCTTAGATGTGAAATGAAAACAAGTGGGAAGAGGAGGGGGGGAAAAACATCAGACTCCAACCATTCTCCTTGAATGGAAGCATGGTTTGAGCCTGAGAGAAAACCTCGGGCACATGCAGTGTACATTTAAAAGACATGTACAACAAATCTCGAGGCTTACATGGAGTGAACTGGAAGGATTGAAGGGGTATACTGCAGTATACTGTCTCCTGATGGTCAAGGTGGGCATACTCGAGGAGCAGCACAATGAACTGTATTGCACCACTAAATTATGATGCACAAACTTCATCACTATATTTTCTCCAATAGCAAGTGCAATATTAAGGCAAAAACTAAGTGCCTTGGCTCAATAAATGATGGCATGCATCAACTTCTATTTACTTTCCCAGTTACAACCCATCCAGAGGAGCATAAACAAAAAATGACCAACAGAGGGAGAGATAATGGGAAGCCTGACGCTTTGCTGTTGAGCTCTCGATATCTTAGATGTGAAATGAAAACAAGTGGGAAGAGGAGGGGGGGAAAAACATCAGACTCCAACCATTCTCCTTGAATGGAAGCATGGTTTGAGCCTGAGAGAAAACCTCGGGCACATGCAGTGTACATTTAAAAGACATGTACAACAAATCTCGAGGCTTACATGGAGTGAACTGGAAGGATTGAAGGGGTATACTGCAGTATACTGTCTCCTGATGGTCAAGGTGGGCATACTCGAGGAGCAGCACAATGAACTGTATTGCACCACTAAATTATGATGCACAAACTTCATCACTATATTTTCTCCAATAGCAAGTGCAATATTAAGGCAAAAACTAAGTGCCTTGGCTCAATAAATGATGGCATGCATCAACTTCTATTGTTTTTTGAACAAACGAGGCCAAAGCTGCTAACCATCCTCCTTTTATACTCCCCACTTCTCCCCCAGACTTGGATGTGGGTGATCGGTCCAATGATTCTGTACCTGTGTGAGCGGCTGCTGCGTTTAGTCCGATATTTGCAGACGGTCCGATACCGAAAGGTAATGTTTCTACTGAAGTTCCGGGCAGTATGTTTCGAGCCCGCCTTTTTTTTAATTTAAGGTTTTTTTTTTTTTCTTTTCTTTTCTTAGATCGTGATGCATCCATCCAAGGTGCTGGAGTTGCAGCTGGTCAAGAACGGCTTCAAAATGGAGGTGGGCCAGTACGTGTTCCTCAACTGCCCGGCCATCTCGCAACTGGAGTGGCACCCGTTCACCATGACCTCGGCCCCCGAGGAGGACTTCCTCAGCGTGCACATCCGCTCGGCCGGAGACTGGACCGAAAAACTCATCAGCATCATGCAGCAGCTGCCCGAGGGCGCGCAAGGGCCCAAGTCAGTTCTAGTATTTTAAATGTTCTGCTCGTGTGATGTGAATGCTGTGAGACCGTATTCCCGCTCATGCTATCAGAAGAAAGTATTCACAGTCAAGCTGAACATCAACCATATTTGTGTTAGTACTGTCAGGCACTCACATTAATGCTATTGTGTCAAAAAGCGTTTGTGTAAATGCTCGTCTCTCTGCATCCACACACCAATGCCGGCGTGCCTCAAACTATTTACCAATGCAGAGAAACACAATTGAAGAGCATTTTCACTTATGCTACATTGCATCAGCAATGAATTTGTGTTACTACTGATAGTTGTTCACATTAAATGATATCGTCTCACATCCACTCTTATTACACTTGTCGAAAATTTTTGTGTGTGAATGCTCATCCTCGCATTCACATATTCTGTGTTTCAAAATATTTACCAATGCTGAGTCAAGCATTCACATTAATGCAGCGTTGCATCTGTCATATTTTCAGAATGGGCGTGGACGGACCCTTCGGTACGGCCAGCGAGGACGTGTTTGACTACGAGGTGGCCATGCTGGTGGGGGCGGGAATCGGCGTCACCCCCTTCGCCTCCATCCTCAAGTCCATCTGGTACAAATTCAAGGATTCCAACCCAGTGCTGCGCACACGAAAGGTAACGCGCAATCACACGACAACGCTGCGTGGTTTTTGCTTTTGTTGTCATTTTAAGGCAAAAGTTGTGCCTGTCATGTGGACTGACACGTCTCCGCTTTGATTTTCAACCGGAAAGTTTTGGCACGTCCGCACGCCTCACATTATGTCAAACTGGTCTACTGAGAGACCGACTAAAGCAACTTTTGACATTCTCAGGCAACCTATTACAGCACCATTTTTTTTCCGAGTACATTTTAGGGCAGGGCACATTTTCGTTCCCTTGGCTGGTAGACAAGAAAATGGCAATGACAGTCAAAACAAGTTTGGCTTGTTTTGCTTTTCACTTCTGGGATTTCATATTGATATATTTCTCTTCAGATCAAACTAAAGCTTTTTTCACCCTCCCCAGTGTGTGTGTATAGTGTGTGTGTGTGTGTATATATATACATACACACACACACACACACACACACACACACACACACACACACACACACACACACACACTCACGCACACACATTTCTTTTTTTCCACCGCTGATAAGTGTTTCTTCCTCTAAATCTCCCTTTGGTCAAAGCATGTAAATGAACACTATCCTGAATTTTTGAAAAATATCATAAAATGAACAGTCAAACTGATACAGAAACAATGTAGCGCTATTTACTCCAGTACTGCCTCGCACCAATCTCTTTTCTTTCATGTGAAGAACAATGATGTGGTAATGATTCTGCTCGTAGTCTGTTTTTTTAGCAGGCATTAAAGCCACTAGTCATTTTTTATTTTACTTATTTTTAGAAAATAGTGTCAGCACTGAATAGGCTTTTGAAAACGAGCTCTTTTCTGTTCATAGCCATGTTAGTCTTAAGCAGTGCAAGGATGCACTTTGAACTGCGCTAACTGCTAGTGTATAAAAAAAAAGAAATCTTGTCAAATGTCAATTCAACTCACTTTACAATAAGGAGCACGTTGGCAAAAAGTGAAGTTTTCTTCAAAAAGGAGGCTTCAGTTGAACTTTAATGTCCAAATAAACAGAAAACTAAGACAATTATACCATGTGCATTTAAAACAACCACATAGCTTAGCATTTCAGTCCTCTAGCTAAATGCTAATAGCATCTATTTTGCAGTATCGTTAAGCGACAGGTTCAACACAAATGAAAATATACAGAACATTTTTTGTTTAAACTGTTTTTTTTTAGGGTGGGTGGAGGGTGGAACAGATTCATGATATTTGCATTCAGCTCAATGGGAAAACATGACTTGGGATATAAATGTTTTGCGTCATGAGCATGATCACAGAATGAATTAGGCTTATCTCAAGGCACCACTGTACATTTTTGGAATTGGTTCCCCACCAGTGTTTGAAAGCACATCTTGAATGATGACCATCCTTGTTCCACTTAAATTTGTAATTCCGTTGGTGTGTCAATGGTCATCTTTTGTTCCCATTTAGCTAGTTTATCCCACGCTGATATTTTCCCTCACTTGAATGAAGCAAAGTAATGTAACCCGCCAACCTGAACACACCCTGATCCTCATTAAGTCTTTTGAGCAAGCGCTTCATTATCGTTTGTGTTTTTTTTCTCCCTTACTCCCTGATTCCAGATCTACTTCTACTGGCTGTGCCGAGAGACAAATGCTTTTGAGTGGTTTGCCGACCTCCTGCAAGACCAAGAGAGGGAGATGGAGGAGAGGGGCATTGGGGATTTCCTCACCTACAAGCTCTTTCTGACCGGCTGGGATCAGAGTCATGTAAGTGCGTCTGTGGATGATTGTTTTGAATGTTGTTTTTTTTTAACCGCACAATGTTTCCCTGCATACCCGCAATATTCTACTCACAGATTATACATTGAAAAATACTTTTTTTTGTGCTCCGGCCAAACCTCTGGAAGTTATAAAAGTATTACTTTTATGCCAAGGAACTATGTTGCTCTAAATTGCAGAGCTTCATGTAAATATTTTTGTTTGGGGGTGAGGACTCATTTGGGAGTCTCTCAAATTTACTTTGGGCTGTTTTGTGTGAGGTGAAGACTGGTTTCATCGGTGCATCTATCTTGGAAATAGGAGTTGGTCCAGTGTTGCACTGTTAAATTAGGAAAAGCGCTGACTGCAAAAAATGACCACACCACTACATGTCACTACATTGGAACAGCACTTCAGATTTAGACCTGTTTTCATCTGAAAAAAATGTTCTTTGGAACATACTGTTACTGTATTTCACGTAATCTCTTCCTGTTCCCTTAAGGCCAATCATGCCATGGTGCACTTTGACGAGGAGACTGACGTGATCACAGGACTCAAACAGAAAACTCATTATGGAAGACCCAACTGGAATAAGGAGTTTGAACAAGTCCGCAAGGAGAACCCCTCGTAAGACAATTATCTTCCTTCTCTGAAATACAAACAAATTCAAACATAGCCAAAAATGTTGCATCTTTTTGCGAATTTCCCCAGTGTGGGACAAATAAAGTTTATCTTATCTTATCTTTTGCATTTCATCTTCAGGGCTGTGGTGGGAACATTCTTGTGCGGCCCAGCCGTTTTGGCCAAAGTCTTGGAAAAGAAATGCGCCGAATACTCGGAGGTGGACCCGCGAAAGACAAAGTTCTACTTCAACAAAGAGAACTTTTGAGCTGGGGAAAAAAACAGAAGCAGTCTCCTTTTGGGAAGACCGGGTGGGGAAATGTTTTCTTAATCCTAATTAAGGCACACACGCGTGTTGAAAGCGTGCATGCAAAAAAATAATAATTCTGACAACAATGCTGGGCATGTTGCTCCACTTGTCTGAATTCTCCCTATTGTCTCTCTACCACTGGTCTTGATGGTTTAGTAAAAATGCGGACATATTAAAAGAAAAGGGTTTCCTTCAACAACTCATGAATGTATGTTTATTACAAAACCTACAAAATCGTGTCAGTGAAGTTGAACCTAAAAGTTGCACTTTTACAGTTGTAATACCAGGAAAAAGTCAGAATTTTAAAATAAGCGTCAGATACATGAGAAAGTTAAAGCTGTGATAAAAAGTATAATTTCACGTTAGTCACAATATTGTGAAAAAAAAATCATCATGGGGGGAACAAAATCTTAACTTTAAAAACAGTCACTACAAAAAAAAATCTAAATTGTAAGTTGGAAATTTAAATGTTACAATGTGTGTAAAAACTGTTTTTTTAAGTATAGTTCCAATATTAAGAAAAAGTCTATTTCAAGTGTAAAAATTCATTCTTCAAGAAAAAAAGAATCACAATTCACAGTCTGAAAATAAAAGATGTGATTTAAAAAGGACCGCCACAATAAGGACAAAGAAATATTTTCAAAAAAGTCACAACATGACAAGGGGGAAAAAAATTACTTTAAATAAGACTAATAAAATCTGTGAAAAAAAGTAATACATTACAAGAAAAAAAGCAATATCTTAAATTGGGGAACAATTTGAAAAACAATTTTGTTGAGTTACATTTTTATGCCAATTCAAAAAGTATGACTTGTTCTAGTAAGACGAGTTGACCAGGAATGGACTCATTTAAAGCTACGTGACAACTCATCACAACTGAGAAAGTGCAGTGAGAGGTGTGTGCAGCTGACAGTAGGTCAGTACTATCAATATCGACAAACAGAAAGCTAGCATAGTAGGAAATAAGAGGATTAGTGCTAACTTCTTTTTAACCTTGTAACCATGGGTTGTAAATTCTTGTTTGTTTTATGCTGCTTTTTTAAAATTTTCAAAGCTTGTAACTATTCCATCTTTGTGTTTTATTTCCATACATTCACATTTATTTCAGGGTTTTTTTTTCCCAAGAAAACGAAGAATTCCTAAGCTTAAAAACTCAAGAAAATTAGATCACTTTTGGATTCGGCACTCCAAAATTTGTTAAAATCTGCCGTCTGACCTAATTTAAAACGTATCTTCCCCAATGTTATTATACAAATTGTGCACGCGCGCGCACGCACACACACACGCGCACGCACACACGTGCACGCACACAACACACACACACACCACACACACCACACACACACACACACACACACACACACACACACACACACACACACACACACACACCACACACACCACACAAACCACACACACACACACACACACCTTTTTGGTATGCCTCTTTGTTGATCAATGAAATACGAAACCCCATTGAAGAATTTCCCCAAGAGCCATTTTGGGCCCTGAGCTTCATTTTTGCTTTTTGCAATGAGCGCTTTCACACCAAATGTTGCAATTGTTCCTTTGTTTACATTTTGTATTGTACATTGCATTTATCATGTATTTTACATCAGAGTAGTTACCTGTGTTTTCAAAATGTCCTATTTTAGTATTTTGACATATGTTCAGAGCTGTGTAAATATAAACTTAGGCACTTTGTTTTTTTTTTGTAAATATGAAAAGCCCTGCCTTTTCATGAGTTGTTGATTCATGATTAGACTTGGTGGTTAACACTAAACAAAACCAATGATTCACTGTTGAGTGTGATCAAAATGTCCTTATGCAGTTCTTGAATTGAATTGAATACAACTTTATTGTCAAATGTGCTGTATGTGTGACATACAGCACAGATGAAATTTCTTCCCTCTCAACATAAAACAAGAGGAGCCGCTGCGGGTGTCCGTGCCGCCATCAAAAGAAAAGTTAACTATTTCTATGATCTTGATCCAAAGTATTCATAGAGGGAAGAAGGAAGAAGCGCACCTGGGAAAAACAAATCATGTGGCCTGTGGTTAATCATTCCTTGAAGCCAATGACAGTTATGTTTAAACTCCATTTAATTAAGAACTCAAGTGCTAATTGTCCACTATTGTCTTTATGTGTCTGGTAAATAAAGAATAAGTGCTCATGTTTTCGTAGTTTTGTTTTATTGATGAAACGTGGGGAAAAATAAAGGATGATGTGGTGATGTTTGTTTTCACACTTTTTTGGTGGGACTGCATAAAAAAAGACATGGAAAAAAATAACACTATACAAGCATCCAAACTAATGATGAGGCAAACTTGACTAAGGTCAGACTGTCATTCCTAAAAGAAGAAGAAAGTCGGTATTATCTATCCTTGAACACAGGGGAGAATACTTTGCAGAGAGCCAGTTCCGATCTGATTACCGGTATACAAATAATAGTAATGGGTTCTTATAGAATGTTTACATTTCTTCAGCGGATGTTTTTTGTAGCTGCAAGCTACACTCATCCAAATTATGAAAAATAAAATTTCTACAAGCAAGATACTTGTGTATTACGGGATTCAATATTAAAACAATGTCACGGTATGTAAGAAAAAATTAAAAATTACATTTTTCATCTCTGAGAAAATAGTCAATTTATTGACAAAATTTAAAAATGTACAATGAAAAGTAATTTTACTATAAAAAAAAAGCCATGCTAACGGACAAACTTTGTGTAGTATAAGGTCAGTGTCAATTTTTGAAGAATAAAGTTCTTAAAAAAAAAAGACTTGCAAGAGTAGAATAAATTTGCCGAGTATAAGAAAAAAAATTGGGGGAACTAAAATTGCTTTTTAATTTTTTGGTGAAAGAAAAATATAATTTTGCAAGAATTAAACAAAAAAGCAGATTCTGTAAAAAGTATTCTAATGTTAGATAAAATCTAATAAGTACATCATCCAAGAATTCTGATAATTTTATAAGAATAAAGTCAGATGAGAATATAATTGTAGAATATGATGGTGCAATGTGACTTTTAAAAGACAAAAGCTGGAATTAACAGTTTTACAAGAATAAAGGCGTAATGTATTTGAGTGAGGGGAAAAAGTCATGTTTTCTTTGATCAAAATGGTATGATTGTGCCCAGTGAACCAGGTAAGGTGATGGGATATGCGGCTGGAGTTGAGTGCGGGGCCGTGTTTGAGCCCGCTTTGGGGCGACGAGCCCAGTGAAGCACCTACCTGCCCCTGCACGGCATCCGGGTGTCGATCAAGGTGCGCCGGTGGTTTTCTGGATCTGCTCTTTGAGGATGAGGATGCTCTGCCTCTGCTCGGGGGGCAGCATGGCGATCTGTTCCGGGGTCAGCTGTAGAACTTGCATGATCAGGGCAGCCTGCAAATGGGGACACAAAAGCGGGGCATCAAGAGGATGTGGCGGCACAATGTGGTGCCCTGCCTCCAAAGCTTACATTAACGTTATACAAGTGCTTTTAAAACTTGGAAACGCTGTCTTTCAGGATAATACGTGATTTCAGGAAAAAGACAATGTACAACAAGCAAAAATGACAACGGTACCACCTGACTTTCATTTTGGGGCAGGAAGACGATCCCTAAGTGACACTCACCTTCTCTTGGTCTTGTGTGGAAACTTGGTTCTGGGCCGGACTGAAGCCACCGCCTCCTCCTCCCGGAGGAGGAACTCCTGAAATAACGGGACCCTGTGGAGAAAAACACGGCGGGCATTTGCAGTGCTGATCAGCAGAGTCATGATTATGCAGGCTGGACACACGCAGTTCACTTTGGAGGGTCAACCAAGCCAGTGTTCATTTCATTGATGAAAAACCTTCTTCTTTCATTTTGTCACAAATAATTTTTTTCAGATGAAAACAAAACAAAAACAAAAATAGAAGTCATTCCTTGATACAATAACTAAATTGGTTGACAATTTTGTCAACAAATAAAAGACGAACAAAAAAACTGCAGTGAGGAAATCCAATCAGAAGAAGAAAGCACACGCGGGGAGGAGAAAAGAACCATTCAGAAAACGGAACATACAGGACAAAGCGAGAGGATAACCAATCAGAGGTCGAGTGAAGCGGTGAATGCAAGCCGGTCACCCGCTTAAATCACGCTCCCGGGAAGAAAGGAGACGAGAAAGCATTAATGGTGAAAGTGCGAGATCATATCCGTAGCTGGGAGAACGCGACAAGAGGATTTGTGTGTGACTTCACGTTCCACGATTAAGAAAAAAAGGACTACGTGTAAAGAATGAGGAACTGTCATGCGTGGGAAAAACAGGACGAATTTTTAGAGACATCTACATTGAGTTATTTAACTAAAAAAAGATTTACTAACAATTTTTAAACAAAACATTAAAATGATGATGTGTTATTTAAGTATTAAAATTATTTCACATATTAAACACTTTTTTGCTAGTTTAAAAATAAGAAATAACTATAAATCATAACTGTAAAAGCATGTACTGTCTATTCATTAAAAATAACATTTGACATACACATTTAAATATGCCTTAATTTAAAAAAATGTTCACATTTGTTGAGTAAAAATGCTTTTTGGGATTTGTTGGTATCTCACTGAACAACTGCTTCAATTCTTTTTGAAAATGATTCATATAAAAAAAATACTGGTAAAATAATTTTAAACATACATTAACACATTTGCATTTTTTTCCCAATTGAAATCGTCGGTTCATTCATTACAGTGAGTTATACATGATGCAAATGACTGAATGAATTGTCTGGTATTTCAAAGAAACACTTGGAAAGCATCCTAATGGTTGCAAGCTGGCTAGTCGAGTTCACCATTCCTGTCACGGTGACTCATTAGACAAACAACACAGAAGAATACTCCAGCCTTGCACCTGATGACTCTCACAGATAAAACCCAGAGAAAATAAACAAAGGAAAGATGGCAAAACAGACATTTACCGGCCGTGCAACCAGGGGTGCGTTGGGGCCCATGTTGTGGGGGATGGGGCCTTGCATTCCTCCCGCCATGGGAACCCTTTGGCCTGCCACGGGACCGCGGGCGTCCATCGCTCTGGGATCGCGGCCTGCAGGAAGAAGATGTGGGAAACACAAACAAACATGAATCGCGAGTAATGTTAAGTGAAAAAAACAAGAATTTACTAGCATACTTTTGGAACAATACAGAAAATGAGTCTTCCTGGTGCTTTCTCGGCATGTTAAGGTGTCAACACTTGAGTCCTTCTTACACCACACTCGCTCAGTGTGAAAGGTCCATCCAGCAGAGCGAAAAGATGACAGCGCCCCGGTGGCTAACATGGCCATACTTGGAAATGCTGACGTAGCAGCTTACGAGGAAATAAACATGAAAACATTTGCCGCTGGTTTCGACGAGAAGTAGAGCACACCTTGACTCGATCAATCACTCTTTTATTGTTGCAAAAGATGGTGGGAAGAGGAAGAGGAGACAAGCAGCAAAAAAGGGAATGGATGATCCTTTTGCTTGGAGAGTTTATACAACATTTTTAATCCGAGGCACCTTGCCAAGCAACGCATACACTCTGCCCTCACCACATCTGTCTGATGGTGCCTTCTTCTCCACTCGAAGCAACCCCTGTGTAGTTGCACCGCGAACTAAAGACGTGTGGCACTACCTGTTGTTTTTGACTGGTCTGAAGCTATCATTATAGTGTAAAATCTATCAAAATAACAATTGGTACAATTAGAATTAACTATTTAATGTGTCTTATAGATGATTTTTTTTTAAATAGACCTGTTCATTGATCTTGCGCCTATCAAAGTAATTTTACTCTCAAAATTTTTAAAAAGCATCCGTAAAAACACACCACTTTGCACATTGTCATGTTACAGCCTGACTCTAAATTGGACTGAATTCATGATTCATTCTTCAAATATCCCCCCCCCCCCATAATAACTGAAAAGGTTTTGAAATGTTTACACATTTATCACAAATTTTTAAAAAATGAGGAAGACAACTTTTTTCAATTATCAATAAATTTGGGGCAAATAAACCAAAAGGTGTTTTTCATTATGGAGTGTTGCTTGCAGAATTCTGCCGAAGTAAATTACTTTTAATACGTTTTGCAGTAGGGCAGTAACATGGTGAAAGAGTCAAGTGATGTGAATATTTTCTTGACTCGAGTGCAACACGGACGCTTCAGCTGACCTCTGGTTTCCATCGGGGGTCCGCGCTGCTCCAGCATAGGAGGCCCCCTGGGGTCACCCATCATGTTTCGTGGTTCGCCCATCGGCGGCCCTCTCAGATCCATGGGGGGGCCTCGCATATCCGGTGGTGGGACGCCTCCCATCGGGCCCATGTGCACCGGCGGCTGGGCGTGGGGTGGAGGTGCTCCCATGTAGCCTCGGCTAAACAGAAGTTTTGATTGGTTAAGTGCTTGGCTGGACTAGACAGAGGCAGACAATCGCAAACAACTAGCAGAAGGCAACTGACCCTAGTGGTGAAATCACTGCAACAACAACAACAACAAAAGATTAAAAAGGCCACCCCTGGCATTCTTATCAGGGAATGACATAGGGCGGCCAACTCGGGAAAACTAGTTATGAAAGCACGCACACTTTATAAATTGTTCCGTGGTCGCTCGGTGCGCCGCTTAATGCGTCGTATACTCACTTGGGGTCAATGGTGTCTCCCGTGACCGACAGCAGGCTGCCCCCTCGGGGATCGTTGGGCCCGTCGCCAAGCAGGCCTCTCGGGGGTATGCCGCCCCCTCCTAAGGGAGAACAAACAAGATGAAAACAGGCATAAAAAACACAATGACACAACACGAGACAAGAAACTGGCCGGCCAAAACATGTCACTACCTCGTTCAAAATTGTGAGGATTGTGTAGCATTGATTGTTGATTAATCGAGTCTAGAAGTAAATGAGGCAAAATATAGAGTCCAATGGTGCTCTTGTAGTTTTCCAAAAAAAAAAACACATTTTTATCTCTTCTCTTTTTATTAGAGTACATCGGTGCCTTGAGATTTAATGAGCACGCTCGTGACTCAAAACAGTCGTATCTCAAGTCACCTTTCTTGGACTGGAAATGCATTTTTGTCTGTGTTTTTTGATAAGATATACTGTATCTATAATAGTCAAAAACATAGGATACGTGTATCACTAAATAGAATGAAAAGAAGTAAACCCTTTGTGCATCATGATTTAATGCTGCAATCCAACTCCTTGTGCTGCTCCTTCTGGTGTGCCTGCCTTGGCCATTGGGGGCAATGTAATACAGTCAAAGCAGATGCAAAAAAAGACGAATAGAACTTGTACTATGATTGTATGTGAACCTGTTAGATGCGGTAATATTAGTCATTTTTCAAACAGGATAAACAATATATGCCTGTCGGTATTGTCATATTTTCTGTTTTTAGTTCCTTCTAAAAAGCTTTAATCGTTAGCATGAGATCGGTGTTTTGCATTGTATGTAAGCATTAAACTAAGCGAACTGTCCCAGCTCAATGAGAGGTGTTCATTTTAAATACACGTGCATTTCTCTTTGCGTACCTTTCCTTCGACAGTAAACGTCAACCGGGAGTGACATTAAACTGCTTGAAACCACCTTTTTGATGAATTGTTCAATATTTGCCGACCTGCTGCTTATTGTGAATGAGAAATTGCCCAAGTAACGGCTCATACCTCGAAAAAAAACCTCCTGAATCGGGTCACTTTTATCCCAAAGGACCATTCTGTTAAAATACACACTTTCCAGAGCTTTATGTTTTTGTTTTTTTGAATTCCGCTTCAATTTTCTCCATAGTTGAAACTAGCACTAAAAATTGAACCCACGTTTATCACATGGCAGCTACGTAGGGATGGGCGATGAGTTGATTTTCATCGATTAATTCAATTTTTGACTGTTTTTTCTTTGTGAATTTTTTGTGACTTGTGTAGTTCAAAGCATTTTTCCACTGACGTGCACTGCTTGCATGAACCACGTGGCTATGAACAGAGTGAACTGGGTTTACAAAAAGCTATAGGTGTTGCCTAATTAGTGACTTTGGAATTAATCCACTTTCAACCCCTGTAGTGACTCATGATTGAGAAAGAGAAAACATAAGCAGGATCATTTTCATATTATATTCTGGATGACAAGAACGGAGCCTGGTGGAAGACAATCATGGAGTCAATTGCGCTGAACATTGCCAAAGACAATGTGTTGCAAAAGCAGTGACGTTTGAAAGGTTTGACTTGAGGTATGTGCTTGCAAGCCGCAAATATGATTCCCAAAGTTGCCTTGCCTCACCTGTTTAACTCAAGATGAGAAAAGAGTATGTGAAAGCAGAAAGGGGAGCAGACACAATGAATCAGCTGAGCCACGCAGTTTAAATGCTCATTTTATGGTATAGCTGTTGAACATTTCAAAGGTTTGTTAATTTAATTATGGTTACTAAATAACATTGTGCGCCCCTGCGCATGTATTTCTCTTTGACGAGCTGTCCGGTAACATCGTGTTTGTCATAACACAGCATGTTGGAAGACGGAACGTCATAACCAAGCTCCAAAACAATTAACCATTTCTCTGTTTCTATTTCATTTGCGCTTTTTAAAACATTTGTGGAGAGACTTACAGGTTTTGTAAGTGACCATGCCACCGCTCTTACGTAAAATATTTCCACACGCTTGTTGAATAGTACAACACAAGTGTCGAAAAGCAACCTGTGTGTCGTAATGTTGGTGCGTGCTGTGATATGAATGTGGTTATCACACAGGTGTCGCCCACACATTATTGGCTATTTTGCTGCGCCATAGAACGTTACAACGTTGCCAACGGCCCCAGACGGGCGAGTTGAAAGTCTATGTGCTCCCCGGAGTCTAAACAGTATTTGGAAGAGTATTATATTTGTGGAATAGTCACGAAGCAGATTAATCCACCCGCTTTGAGCTATTTTACATCGCTCTCTGCAGTCAACTGAAATTGACATTAGCGCCTTCTAGCCGACATTTCAAGCGTCACAAGACCAAATCCAGAACGCTCGTGAACACATTTTTGACACAAGTCTCCTTTAAACATCGATGTGTAGTCGGTAAGTCAAGCAGTCAACTTTTACAAACAAGTAGAACCACTAGTACAAACCCTACTGCTTATGCGGCAGGTAATCAACGCCACAAACATAAAACAACATTATTAAAAGAGTTCCAGGAAGAACTTGTCAGATTGTCCTTATGCAAGCGAGCAAAAATAATGGACTCTGCAACTCTGGAAACAGGTCACGAGGTGATAAAATGTGTGGCGGAAGTGTGATAAGGGCCCGACGCAGTTGGTCAGGTCTAGGTTGAGCAACATTTTACGGGAAATTCCTATAAGGAGATCACATGACCAGGAGAAGAATGAAGCATCAGGTTTTTTACCAGCAATGGTTTTCCCTATTGTAAAAAGAACAATGCACGCATTCATGAGGCAGATTTTGACGCATGGAATTTAGTGGCCATTTCGAATCATTGGCGGTCATAACGCGTGAACAAAACAAAGTATGGGGATTTTTTTCTATTTGCTGTCTATTAAGAGTGGCATCAGTCAGCATGACAGGTAGATTCAAAGCAGAGAGAGGGGGAGGAACAATTGGGCTTGGAAAAGCACAGCAAGCAGCCTGATGTCACAACATAACACAACACACACAAATGAAGAAACAGAGCAATTATGGTTGAAACACCGCTTGCTAAGACAAGGCTTGTATTATTGAGTGATGGAACATTGCTGCCAGAGGTATGCAAGCAAATGTGAAGCGATGGGTGTGTCAGTGTTAGGTTGCTTTTTAAGATTAATTACAACTTTCCTGACATGGATGTTATAAACAGCGGCAGGCTGTCAAGAAGAGACAGCAGGCGCCGCCATGTTGTCACTCAGTGAGATAGCTTTGAACAACAAAAGCACACCTGTTTGTTACAAGGTTTAGGGACACATTTGCAGCCTTTATAAAAACCCCAAATCATGCCAAATACGTTCAATACTTATTAAACAAATCCAGCAATGGAAGGAAGAATCCATTTTATTTTGGCACAAATTTGAGTCAAGGTGAAGATATGGAAATAATGTTAATTTCACAATGAACAATGTATTTCTTGTATTGATGGAATTCATAAATATGTAGGAGGCTATTAATCCAATTAAGATTTTTCTGCCTTGGAAGAGGTCTGTTCTGCATTTGTTGGTTGGCCTGTCACAATAACATCTGTTTGTATATTTTTTTTTTATTCTCTACAAAGGAAGACTTATTGCATCTTACTGGCGAATTCTGACCACCTAAATGTATAAGTCAGTTTTACACCGCCTCCAGGCGGGCAAGACGTGTACCAGAAGCAGCAGCACGATGTCCATTGAATTTAAGCAAAAATGAGAAAACACATTCTATGGGATTGCACTATTACTCAAAGTACAATATTAGAGTGTGCTATTTTTATTACTAAAAAAACAACATGGGGGGGGGCTGGGGGGATTAGGGGCGTTCATCTCAATAGGAAAAAAAATTGTTTTGAGAGATTGATTTGGGATATAAGTGTTTTGAGTTAACGGTGTGGTCAGAGAACAAATTAAACGTTTCTCAAGTCAAGGCACCACTATTAAAAAAGGACTGATGAAGAAGTTAAGTGCACCATCTTCAATGGCACAAACTATTTGAACAGTCGCACCATAATTGATCAGGTCCCTCCACAAAATGTTTTTTTCTTTACTCTATACTTTGCAGCGTAATGGAAAATATATCCTTTGCGGAATGACATAAATGTCTTGACTGGTTTAGTCGTGACTAACTGAACCATTGAGTGTGTTCTGAGTCAGAGACATGCTTTCTGTTTGAATAATGGGGCTGGATTGAAGAGAAGCCCAGAGAAGTATTCTTTGAACAACCACTATGTAAGCTGAGTCGGAAATCATCTAAACTTATCCAAGTCTCACTGATATGTTTGAGCAATATTGTAGCTTTACTCTCATCTTGCACCAAAATGGGTCATTTGAGGGACATGGTAGGTGGACAAATGTGGGAAGTCTTGAGAAAAGGCAAAAGGTCCCCGAAAACAAATGACAACCTCGATATCCTGCACTTGATCTCTCCCCAGCTCTTTGGCATCACCGTGAGGTTCCTCACCCACGACATGAGAGAAATGCCATCATTGTGCCAAGTGCCTTGCCCAGATTCTCAACTCTAATTGTGTTACAGCTCCTGATACTTTCTCAACAAGTCCCACAGTGCACTTGTGTGCCTGTAGTTCAGTGGTGGCTCATATTCTTTTAAGGGGGAGTCAAGTCCAAATTTTTCTTCACAAGAATATGTTCTATGCACCTAAACTAGATTAATATTGCATTTGTGGAATATGAACAAAGCAGCACAATCCACCCATTTTTATCCCTCTCAGGGGGCAACCAAAATGCAAAAATAAACAGTTATATGTCAATCATTGATTTTCCAAAGTAAAAGCAATTGTTTTATTTTGATTCAACAAAAATATAATCATTCATGGAGGACAACAGGAACCAGATTATATTTACTGTTGAGAAGGGACAATTTTGGCCATTGGTAAAATTTCATATTTAAAAAGACATCTAAATGATTCGATTACCAGAAATAGATTAATTTAAGAATCACTAAACTGACAATCAATTGTCATTGCACAGCTACATTTAACATTTACATTTGTTTTGTTAAATAAGTGGTTTATCTAAGTGTAAATAAAAGACATTAAAAAACACTTCTACAGCTAGTCCATATATTACTTTTTATAAAATACTTTTAATTACTAATAAATAAATAATTTTAACACCAAAATAAACTATTTTACATACACATTACCATTTTTTTCAACATCATCTACAAGTGACATAGCCCATCTGTCTATTTTACAAATTAAGTGTGATCCTTGAGCACAAAATTTGCCCGCCCTTGCTTTGACTGATGTTTGCGGGAATGCAACCTCACGCCACAAAAAAGTTTTCGCTGTTGAGCATTCTCCACTCCAAACCTGACTGTAGTACTGACTGAGGGAGGGGGTGGTGATACCTTGAGGCCGTTCGAGAGCAGCTTGGGCAGATCCTGTGGGAGAATGCTGGAGGTTTCCTGAGCCAGCATTAAAGGTGGAAAAGAACAGGAGACAAGACTCAAGAGAGCAAAGCGGCACTTTAAAAAAAAGCATGGGGGAGGCGTGCAGGAGATGAGATGAACTCCACGGGGGCATTGAGCATATTGTGGTGGTGTGACAAGAACAGTGGCACTATTATTAATGGGGGTGGTGCCTCCTAGGGATCTCAATGAGGAATGACATGTGCAAAGCATTCACCAGATGAGCTTCAGCAAGACTCCCAAACTTTCAAAATCTAGTTTGAAAAGAGAAAATATACAAATACCAAATCCCACCCCACCTGCAAGAAAAATCGATTCTTCTATAGTTTAATCCAGAAATTACCCTCCCTCACCATTTAAACAAACATGATTGAATAAAAGTACTGGAACTCATTTAAAAGGTAGTAGTACATTTATCAATAATTGTGAAGTAAATATTAAGGGAAGCAAGAATTCTATAGCTAGAGCAGACTGATTTAAAAAAAAAAAAAAAAGTGGGGGGAATGTGTTCAGGTTTTAACAAGGAGGTGCGCTTGGCGTACTGCAGTGCACTGCATTTCCCCAGCCATTTGGCACAGCAGAGCAAAGAAGGTTTGGAGCTGATGGGTGGCCATCGGGTATATATTTTAATTTTCCAAAGAGCCAGTGTATTTCTGAGCCAGTCCTGGTCATCACAGCCACACTTACATTTGTGTTGAGAAGAGAGTTTTGTTTGTTTTTCTTTCTACTTTGGGATCCTTTTTGAATAGAAAGATTGTACTAGTGTAATAATTTAACATGAGAAATATATAGAGAACAAGGGGGAAGGACTTGCTAAGTTTTTGAATTTCTTCCTACTCCCTTTAAACATATGAACTACGTTGAAATATGACATCTATTGATGATTTTTCTTCCTTTTAGGTGGTATTGAGGTAAAAGGATGGACAACCACTGATATGGGATATTCTACTGAATAGTTATTCCACGTTTTCTCTACATTACTAGGGATGGACGAAGATCGGGACGTTTGCCAGCCTTATTTGAAGGTATCAAATACTCACGAAGGCTAGCAATACCAGTCATCAATACTTATCCCGCCTTCTTGTGGCCGTTCTACTCCCCCAAAGTAAACGGCATGCAAGGCTCATAGAACGTTTTTCAAAGTGAACTGCATCCACGTGATCAATCCTCTCACATGCCTGTTAAGATGCAACTTTCAGTATATTGAAGTATGTTTGATGTGTCCTGTGACTGATTTTAGTCCGCCTTTCACCCGAAGTCAGCAGCACACGGCATGCCTGAATAGGAAAGGCGGTGTTGAAAATGGATGGATGGATGGATAATTCCGTTTATATGGTCAATATGCTTGTGTTCAGACCAAACACGAAATAACGTGTGGCTCCAAGTATCGAGCATGTTTTTGTTTGCGAGGGAAGTACACAGAGAATAGTAGGATCTCCTCCTCCTCCTCCTCTAACAGAAAAAAAAGTTTGAACATTGCTAGTCAATCTGGTAATCGGTGTTTGGGTATTTTTTTTCTGTTATTACTTTGGCCACTAAATTCTGATTGGCATTTCAACAGCTGTAAGCAATTCAGTTCACTCACTTAGATACATCCACTTTCCCACTCCCCATTCTTCAAGCTGTTCCTTTTTAGCTTGGCCTCAGCTGGTACTGGAAGTTGGCTGTGTTTTATACCTCTCGGTCCCACAGACCGCCATGATTATATTGTCCGATTTTGTCCCAGAATGCTCATTTCACCATGCTGTGAGTGTCTGCACTTGTGCTGCTGCTGTGTGTGACAAACTATGTACATTCGACACCGATTGGTTGTCGGTGACCCAATGCCATAAAAAGTTCACATTTGCAAACCCCAGCGAAAAGGGTGAAGAAACAAAATCTTTTAAAACGTTAAAAAAATAAAAATTACAGTTACAGGGACCCTCTCCGTATGAATTTGAAGTGTCAAGTCAATTCAGATGATATGACATTAAACAAGCGACAGCTGGAAAGCAAGTGGCCCAACTTAATTGAAGAAGCAAGGCACATTTGTTTGTTGTGAAACAATAATTGATTCTTTGGATCACTACCTGGAGGGCCGGCGGGTCCTGGGGCCGGCACTGGTCCAGGTCCAGGCACAACACCAATGTTGGGAGGCTGCATCATGGGAGGTGCTCCATTGACGTGCATCCCAGCCTGATCACAAAACAAGAAGGGAAAAAAAAAAAGATTAATGATCAAATATGGTAGTTTTAAGAAGGGGTCACAATGTGGGGTTGGTGAGTCAGAACCTACAATAACAGCAGTTTCCATAAATTCCCTCAAAAGATGAAAAGGTAGAGTATTTATCCAGCTAGCTATAAAATACGAAATCGGCACATGGCGCCGATCAAAAGAGTAGCTTACAATAAATGAACTTACAGTAAGATTACAGTGGATAGAGGATAGCGACTGAGCTGGCCCATGAGTTGCAGAAATCTGCAAATAATTGACGCTCATTATAATTGCACTGAAAAGGGAAAAAATATATATTTTTAACCCCCAAATTATTGCAGTAGTGGGGATATACTGTCAATAAGCGCCACTGCCTTGCTGTGAAAATAAACTGTGATAATACGGTTATAATTGCACTGCTACCTGCACAGTGCTTTGTGACTTCTTGTCCAATAATTCATACTGAAGTACTAGTGACTGACGAGCCACCATGTAGCAAGACACATGCCTGAGGGTGGGTTATGACATCATAATCATCATCATCATCATCATCGTCATCATGAGTAGACATTGTTGCATTGTTTGTACAATATTTGCTATAGATTGATCTTGCTCTCTCTTAGTACCTTATACATGTTTAAATGTGTTTGTATCATTTTAAACGTACCGTAAATGCAATAATAACATGCGTAGGATGTACTGTATTTCTATATCGCGGCTTTCACTTATCACGGGGCTGTTCTGTAACGTAAATCCCGTGATGGAGGGGGATTTACTGTATGACAAAAATACTAATCACTCAAGTAATAATATAATTAGCGCTTTCTAGTTGTAAATTGTAGTTACTACCACTCCTTGCCAGTATAATGATGTATTAATTATTTCAGCATCGCATTCAATTATATAGTCCTGAGCATGCGGGTAATAATGAAATGAGGAAATTCATCTGGCTCAATTGTAACCATTTCAGGTATTCAATAGTGATTAGACATGCCAGAATGAAGAGAAAATAAGCATTCGGGCACAGAGATATTGAACATATGAACAAAACAGAACAGTTAACATCAGTGTTCTGCCTACCACAGGCTGTTGCTGTGGGGCTGCCATGTTGGCCAAGGCGGGCGGTGGATTAACTGGTGGAGCTCCTCCCCCTTGTCCGCTTGAGATGAGTGGCTGAGTTGTGTTTTGGCGGTGAAGCATTTTCTGTCAAAGTGGGACATTTGTTAATAACTACACAGATCAGTAGCATGGGTAGACTTGCGGCGGGTCGGTCACTGACCAGGGCAATCTCCGGATCCACAATGCGCATGACCACCTGGGCCTGCAGCAAGGCATAGGCCAACTGAGGGTTCTGGAGCAGCATGTTCCTTGCCTCTTGCGGACTGTTTTGGACACACAGCTACACAGGAAGGAAACACATTCTTAAAAGAGTTATAACATCATTTCGACTACATGTTATAGAGCTGTTTTTCCAACCTTCAATGAGCTAAAGCACATTTTTACATACGGTAATTCACAGCACACCATGAAACAAATGTTACAAAAAATACCCGATATAATGATGATGTCATCTTAATTCACCCATAAATTTATGTAGTCAATGTGAAATATGTGCCGGTTTAGTTGAACACAAAGGCTACAGTGGTACCTTGATGTTTATTTTGTTTGTTTTTAAATACCGAGTCCTGTCAATCACACTCACGGATGAGAGAAGATACAGCCCACCTTCATCTGTTTCATGAGTTCAAACATCTGTTCAGGTGGCAGACTGGCCACAGCCCGGCTGATGGACTCAGGTGCCTCCTCTGGTGACACACTGTCCCCAAATGGTGACTCTATGATGGGGGCTCCTGTTCCCAAACCTGTTCCCATACATATCGACACAATCACTTCACAGTCACCTCACAGAACAGAGCCGTTGTACCACCTATCATAGGTGACATTTTTAAAGTGCATACTTTTAAGCTCTTCCTTGTTTTTCTCACTGGCGGCGTTGTCAACACGTAGGGCGCGACCATTAAACTCTCTGCCATTGAGGTTGCGCATAGCACTGAGCGCAGTCTCCTGGTCTTGATACTCACAGAAGCCATAACCCTTTGGTTTGCCCGTCTCCCTGTCATACACTAACCTGAAAGCAAAAACAGTCATGACAATCAGCATTAACAGGTTTATATTAAAGGGGAAATATGGTAGAAAATAGTCTTGTATACAAATACAGTGGTGCCTTGTAATACAAATTTAATTCGCTCCATGAACACGCTCATAACTCAATGTACTCGTATCTCAAATCCTCTTTTCCCACTGAACCCCCCCGGTTCCATGTGGAATTATAAATAATGTACTACGATACTACTGGTGTAAAACACAAAAAGTATATGGCCCGTTGGGTCTCCAACCAATCAAGCAAGCGCCATCTTAAAACGATGAAACAGATGTATTGTGTGTGTCGCAGGCTGATCATTTGGATCACTCGTCCCATCTAATAGGCAGATGCTTGTGTTGGAATATTTGTATAGTCACTTATAATACACTAAACTTTTATGGTTCAAACAGATAGAGTCACAACGGGAACATGACATTAAATATTGCCACCTCTGGCTTTCTGCAAGACAGGAGGTCATTCCTCAAAGCAGTCAAACGTCAATAAGGTCCATCTCGTCATTTACTGTGTATGACATGATCAAATCACTAGGCGACATGATCAAATCACTAGGCGCCCGACATCTGGCGCCCTAATACTTTTGTAAAGTCCTGGATATAAATAGAAAAATCATTAGTGTGTAAAAATGTTAAATGTTTTTCGTTTGGAATTTTTCTCAAGTGCTAAGAATGTTCAATATGTATTTTTTTTTGAAGTTATCAAAAGCATTCTAAGTTGTAGTCTTGTAGTATTTTGGTGAACTAATACAAGTCAAATGAATTTGAAGTTGTTTAGCTTTCAACTATGTTTCCTTTTTTTGTTTTGGTTGGTTTGGTTTTTGTTGACGAAACCTGGGGGTTGTTTCAAATAGTGAAAATTTGTAATATCGCACTTAAATCACTATTGTGCTTTATCGAAAAAATGATTTAATAAACAAAGGCGAAAGAAGGCAATGGATTAACGATACTCACCTGAAGCTAACGACAAGTCCGACTTCAGAGAAGATGTCTTTTAACTGTTCTTCCGTGGCTTCATAAGGAATATTTCCCACTGAAACATGTACCGGTACAAATGATGATGAGAGCCCACGCGTCCGTTTTTTTCCTTGTGAAAAAAGTTTTGTTTTCTTCTTTGCTAATACAAGCGAGAACGAGCCTACTGCTTGTATTAGCTATTTAGCTAAGATAGACCTTCACGAACGCAATAGTATATATAACATAGCTTTTACAAACCGCAAAAATAATGAGACTCACCAAACACTGAGCGTAATGAACGGTCGACGGCCGGGTCTCGATTCGCAGCCGCGGCGGCAGCGGCGGCAGCAGCAGCGGCAAGATTCGCCATTTTGCGGGGGGACAAAAATGAATGAAACACCTAGAAGTAGCAAGGGACAATTTCCGGTTTCCGGTCTCGGAAATTTGGAGAAAATGGTTTAGTGACAATGGAAATAGACTCAAACCTCACTTGAGTTTCACACTCAAATGAAGCAAATATCCCAACATAACATAAAAATTAGGCCGAGGCCGACACCATATTTCGCTCAAGACAGTCCTTCTTACTTTTAGAAAAGATTCATATATTTTTTCTTTTTGTCTGTGAATTGGATATTGAACTGAACAAAGGCCCTGTTGACCATCTCAGCAGGGGTTGAACCCAGGACACCCAGCATGTAAGACATTGCCCCAACTAAAACCACAGTGCCCTGCCCGTAATATTTTACCACTGATAATTGCTTCATTGGATGATAGCATGCTTTTGGCTGTGTTTCAATCATTGCCTTCTCCCTAAACCTGCAGGGTCACACATTGATCGACGCTACGTTGCTAAGTGCGGTGTGAAAGAACTTTCATACAAATTAAAATGAACTTTTAATTTGTGTCACGGATGTGCTTTGTTACGGATGTGCCATTGCTTAACGCTAACCCCTAACCTGTGTCAGCAATCAATCGTAGGGCACACATAGAGCAACAACCATTCATTCACACTCACAAACACGCCTAAGGACGATTTAGAGCGTTCCAAAAAGATTAATTGGTGTTGTCACTCAGGGTAACCCTAACTTGCAAATGAGTCCTTGAATGGCCTCTTAAGAAGTTAGGACGGAAAAGTCTGTAGTCACAGATCTCCCTCCAATCTCAAGAGAAGAGATACACATAATTGCCATTACAACAATACACGTATCACCATTTTTCTACATGAACTAATGTTACTGCAGCAGCATGCACTGCTCCATGTAGAAATAAGTTGGCACGATGACAGCGAGCCAGAAGGAACGTGTCAAGACATAAAAAAGACCAAAGATCAGGGTCGTTTTACACAGAACAGCAAAATGCAATGTCTCTACTGCAGAAAAGAATGTAGGTACCATGATGGCCAATTTAAGGTAAAGTATCGGTGTTAGCTAATTTAATATGACCTACAACCACAAGTTCAAATATAATGGCCCAAGATTAAGGACAGGCGCAACTGCTTGTGCACTTTCAGTTGCTTTATCGAACAAAGAATAACAGAAGAAAGAAACACATATTATATTCATACATGAGCCAACTACACTTCCATTCGCAAATACAAACATAACTCACCAGGCAAGGCCCTGCCGCACACATTTAATATCAGATTTATTCCAACATATGGCTCCCCCATGAGGACAAATACCATACCTGCACCTCATGTGCACATTTTGTTTTGGTATCCATTGCTCCATCCATTTTCTAATCCACTTATCCTCACGAGGATCGCAAGCGTGCTGGAGCCTATCCCAGCTGTCTTCGGGCAGTAGGCGAAGTACACCCTGAATTGTTTGCCCGTCAATCGCAGGGTGCACATAGACCAACAACCATTCGCGCTCACACTCACAACTAGGGACAATTTAGTGTGTTCCATTAACCTGGCATGCATATTTTTGGAATGTGGGAGCAAATCAGAGTACCTGTACCCAGAGAAAATATTTCATTGAGTGTTCTTTTAATTTCTTCATGAAGCTGGACATTGCATATCAATGACAAAACCAGATCCGAACAAAGTTCAATGTGGTGTCGTAATGTGTCCGAAGTTGTCTTCTTATAGAATTTGCGGGTTGGCTGACATGACTGAAAGTAAAAGACTGCCTATTTTGGTGCTTATGGCCAGGTTAAGCAATCAGGTGGCTATATTGATAATCTGATATTTTTTATTTCAAGTTTCTTTTGAAGGAAGACATTAATTCTCAGTATGCCAGAACAAAATTAAGGAAACAGGAATGCAATCTTTTTTCAATTTTCAAGGTGTGACAGGACTAGTACGTTGTTTGCTTCTTTTGTGTCATATATGTACGTGGAACCCCCCCCCCACACACACACACACACACATGCACACACACACATGCACACACACATTAGTCGATTAATCAGTAGGCTACTTGTTTCCAAAAATAGTTGCAGCACTACACTTATCAATAATTTCAAATAAGAATCCGGTCCATTGTGTGGAATTGATTGGTGATCAGTTGTGTTGTGAAGCAGCTGAGTCAAAATGGGGCTGGCTTGTAATCAGCAGAGGTGGAAATTTAGCCCAGCCCTCCTCGGGGTCATGCCATTATTATTGTTGTTCATGTTGGGTTTGAGAGAAAAGAAATACTTTATGTGGTCTCCACATACCTGTCAACTTTTCGGAGCACCAACCTGTATAAACTACAAAAAAAATCCTTATAAAGAGCAAAAAATCCTTATAAAATACCAAAGCATTTTTATGTCAAAATAACGGCAGAAAAAAACCCACAAAATATGAATGATATATTTGTTTCCTTGTAGAACTTGCTTGTACACTACCGAAGTATGCAATGAATACTCTGCTGTTTTCAACTAGGAACCACGTGATTTACTGGAAAGTTACCGGAAATGAAAGCATTCGAGTAGACTAGCACCATTCTGGGCAAAAGCAAACGGAACTACCTGTTAGGGGGGAAAAAAAAAAAAAAAAACGGAAATTTTCAGAATCCGTATGATTTGTGCGATATGGCCATATACATAAGATCCACCACAAAATCCGTATGAACTATGGCTAAACCGTATGAGTTGACAGGTATGTCTCCAAATAAAGGGACCAGTCACCATTTTGACCAAAGCCCACGAGCATAATCAAGGGCGTTCAGTGATAGAAGCTGCATGGGAAAATAAAAACATCAACTGCAACTGTTTATCATGTGGCATGCAACAGTGCACCTCGAGAGATATACACAGGCCTTGTACATTAATGCAGGCTCAGACACAGCACCCAGGTGTTATTAAACAAGACAGATTCGTACAGTATATGAGCTGGATCAAAATTCAAGGCAAGCTCGAGCTATTGCTCGGGCACATAATTTGATTGACAATATGATCCAGTAATGTCATAGTTCCATGTTGTACAATAGTGTTTTCCATGGACATTTTGCCACTTATTTATGTGGTGGCTATTACAGAGGTGACAGTAATTGTGAAGAGAAAGCAAGAGTGGCGGAGGTATGGGGTAGTTAAGACAAACCTGAAAGTAACTTGGACTTTTGGGGATGAAAGCACTTCACTTTTACTCGATTAGGTGGCTCCATTAAAATTGTGCAGTTAAAACCGAGACCTGAGCCTTGGTTTAATGACAGAAATCGCGCAACTAAGCAGGAGTGCCGTAAAGCCGAACATATGTGAAAAAAGACAAGCTGCATGTCTCTTAACAAACCTGGAAAGACTGCTGGTGTAACTCTCAGATCACAAATAAAGAGATCAAAAGAGAACATTTGTCAAACCAAATTCAGGCTAACCGTCAAAGCCCACGTTTTTTTTTTTTTTTCAAACCTATTGATTCTGCCTATCAATGCCCATCTAATGAATCATATTACCCTCATATTACTCTTATACTATACGTTTCTTGTGAGCTATTCGATTGTACATAATTCAATAGAACCTGAAAAGTCAAGTCCCGCTTGAGGCTGTAGGATTTTCAATATCGTCAGAAAAAAAAAATCCACCTCAGAAGTCGAAAAAATAACCTTATACCTCTCAAGACCTCAGTCCAACAAGCATCAAAGGACTGACTGTGAATGTGTGTTTTCCTTCTTCTAGGTCTTTCACTTTATTGCAAGAGAAGCAGTACACTCAACAAGGGGTGTTAAAAGGAGAAGAAGGTCAGAAGAACCCGTATCAGACAACAAACGTACCATATGTAAAGTGAACTCTCATTCATCCCTGCCTTTCCTTTGCTCATTTCTCCTCCTCTTCTTCTGAAATTGTGCACCTAATGGTTTTGGGCTTTTCTTCTCCATATTTATAACAAAAGACGACATGTCTGATTATTCCCCAAGAATGACCCCCTACACCAGGAGGGCAACTCCACAAGGGGGCACACATTCCCCATGTAAACAACAATGTTCATATCTCAAGATGCCACAAGAAAACCGTTTCACATAGCAGTTTTCTGAAAATGCTGCACCGTGCAGCCATAGTGCACATACTTTTTCCAAAAAAACGCCACGGTTCCATAGTATCATATGGGTCTCACTTTTAAGCATATTTCGTTTACGCTTGACTGTGGTTAAGTTCTTTTTACACTTGTGTGGCAATTAAGAATGTTAAAAAATGAGATGCATGACCCAAAAAACAACCCAAAGAACACCACAATTTATGAAACGCACTTGTATAGCTAAACGGTCGTTGTCACTTTCAGGTGCCTTTAGTGTCCTCATCAGAATCACTCATTCGTCAGGAAAATGTAAGAGAATAATGAAACGCTACAGTCTTATTACAAGTGACCACTAAGCCGTCATTTTCACATACATCAGTACAGTGAGAAGTCTTTTGAAATGTGTTTCATCCATTTTATTCAATAATTCATCAGTGGATGGATGCAATTTTGGTATGTAGGTTTTCTCTGGGTATTCTAGCTGCCGCCCACATTCCCAAAACATGCCTGTTAAATTCACTGAAGACTCTAAATTGCAGGGAGGTCTGAATGCGAGTGTGAACAGTTGTCTATATATTCCCTATGAATTGGCTGGCAACCATCGCATTTCTTCTTCCAGTCCATTTCTTATAGCCACACTATACTCCAGCTCCCAAACCCAAATTACAGCCTCATATATGAAGGCTGTGGAGGACATTGAATAACATAATAGGAAGGAATTCAAGTATGCATACATCCATCATAGAGGTGTATTTATTCCTAAACCTTATGTTACAGCAAATTATTTTAGTAGTTCCTTTCCCAAAAAATAATAAATTGAGGTGTACAATTAACACACCATTTAATAATATTATTAAAGGGAGTCATATGGGGGGAGTAGTGCAAGTTTGAATTCCTCATGGTTGAAGTAGAAAGGGTTGAAAAATTACTACTAGGCATTTGCCCATAATGCAAAGCGGCTGCAGAAGAACAAAAGATCCAGCCTCAATGGTCCAAACAGACGTTCTACAATTCTCCTTGCAGTCTTGAGTAAAGTGCTGGGGAAAAAAAACCCTTTTGTAATTTTGTTTTGTTATTTATCTGCGGGCGGTCGTCCGCCTCACAGTCCAGAGGTACAGGGCTCCAGCTCAATCCTTCCTGTGTGGAGTTTGCATGTTCTCCCCGTGCCCGCGTGGGTTTTCTGTGGGTACTCTGGTTTGCTCCCACATTCCCAAAACATGCGTGTCAGGTTAATGGAACACTCCAAATTGTCCCTAAGTGTGATTGTGAGCGCGAATGGTTGCTCATCTATGTGTGCCCTGCGATTGGCAGCATGCTTCTGTGTTACCATTATCCACCATGGGAGTGTGTGAAACAGTGGCATCCTGTTAAGTGTGCATATATATATATATATATATATATATATATATATATATATATATTCCAAAGAAAACTGGTCACTATACACTATGCTAAAACATAGTGTATGCTCACTGTGCACTCTCACTCTCTACTAGTTAAGTCTCCACCCATGTGATGTACTGTAAATCTGAGCCTGCGCTCAACAAACAGCGGCCCCGATTTGCTCAGTGGGGTTAAGCCACTTTAACAGATTGCCAAGATGTCCTGACCTTCTGTGCCATGTGCTGGTATCTCAGAAACGCGGCTGGGAACAATACATACATCTGTAAAGTCATTTGTAAATGCTAGGCAAATGCATAAGTACCCCAATCCACAGTCAAAACCCCCCTTTTTTTGCAGCAGCGGCAGCATTTATATATCACAAGGCATTGGTCAGCGGTCAAGTAGGACAGCAACTGCTTTGCTCATGTGTTCAGATGTTACCATTCTTTCATAGAGTAAGAGAGGGGGTTTATATTTACGTATGCTAAACCATGATTACCAACTACTTTGCTCAGGTGTGTGTGTGTGTTGGGTTGTCACATTTCACTCAATTGCTCCTAAATGTACTAATTTATTGACTACAAATAAAATCTCTTTTCATCAGCAGCATATAATGACAGCAGAGTAAATAAATTCTCTTTAAATAGCAGAAAGTAGAAATAATCTCTGTATCCAACTGTTGCCATGTACAGTATAATATGTTTGATCAAACAGGCTTGGATGTCACATTGAGTAAATTTGGGAGTTTAAGAGTAAAAGACAAGCTTGTGCTTACTTCAGTCTGTATCCATTACTTTTTGTGACTTTTTTTTGGTGTTATAATGGGAGTGTGAAAGCAAAAACAAAAACACCACATTTAACACACTTGCTCCCTATTCACGAATGAGAACAATAATATAATGTAATAGTAACAAGTTCCATGACGCAGGGCAGGGAAATGGTTAATTGGGCCCAATTTGGACATTTCATTGGGTGGTGCACTCATTTTTGTTGCCAGGTGTTTAAACGTATATTCATGGCTGTGTCGAGTTAATTTGAGAAGGCAGCACATTGACACTGTTATCCAAGCTGTATACAGACTACTTTAGCATAAAAGTTCACAGAAATGTTGGAAAAGCCTACTCCAATAGCTCAACCTTATTTGAGGTTAATCAGAGACACTTTAATGGTGGCGGGTGTGTGATGACTCGCATTTCACATGACTTTGAATGTGATTGTTTTTTGTTTTTGTTTTTGTTTTTTTTTAACACCGCCACACCCCCAGTTAAAAGAGGGTGTGCACCCTTATACAATCACATTACTGTATTTAATTTGTTTGTTTTTACTTACCATCCAGCTAAACCACAGGTGTCAAACTCAAGGCCTGGGGGCCCAATATGGCATGCCGCGTCATTTTATGTGGCCTGCAAAAGCAAATCAAACATTTAAAATTCCATGATGTGTGCCTAATATTTGCCAAATTTCAAATTCTCACATGTAATAAATAATAGGGATATTGTAAGCATGTTCTTGTTACCAAAACACAGTCACTGAAACGATAGTTGAATAAACCATTATTCTTGACTTCTTTAAATGGTTTGACAGTCATAACGGCTCTCTAAGGGAAATTGTAACAACAATGTGGCCTGAGACAAAAATTTATTTGACACCCCTGTCCTAAACATTTCATTTTTTTCACTTCAGTTGATTTGTGCAGGGTATCGTTCACATCAATAATTTCACAAAAAAATGGCATTTAAACAGGGACTTAAAAGTTAGACAACTTCACCCAAAAAACCCTGAAAATGACTGATTTTAAAATTTTTGGTGACTTTATACAAACTAGTCTGAAAATTAAAAAATGAGTCTCAGCGGGAATCTTGTGGGCGGAACATTGTATGACAGATAAGCACATGCTCCTCACGGTGCAGAGGTCATGGGTTCAATTCCCAGGCCTATATATATATATATATATATATATGTGTGTGTGTGTGCTCCGGAGATTTTCTCCTATATATCTCCTCTCGTTGTCTTGTATTTCAGTGCCAATAGGATCTTTGAAATAAGAGAGGGGCATTGGTGTGAATAAAAAAAAAAAAAAAAGAATGACGGCCTAATTCCATTTAGTTGCTTCACTTGTAGGGTCTTTCTCTTGAGCGTATGCTCAATGCAAGTGTTTCAACTGAGTCGGTAGATCAGGGCCTTTATTACTACTACCTGGCCTTCTCCCATCCACCAATTGTCAGAAAATATCTGAAAAAGAATAGTCTAAAAAGTTATTTCAACAAACATGTTTACATGTATTTTAATTTTTGTTTTAATTTCGGAATTAATAAATACACTAATTAACTGTCATTGTATTTATGATATTGTGAGTGGAGGACAAGTAGATGATGACTATGCGCCTGAAGATGCCATGGCCCATCTTCTCCCTTTCACGCGTAAATTATTTTTTTTATGTACACGGCTGGCTTGCGCACTTTCAAGGTGAACCGATTCCCCCATTCAGACTTCTGCTTCACCACAATACGGAACCTGGAACTTTCTGCGTAACCACCAAAAATGCACAGTTCCTTGAATTCCGTGGGTGGCCCTTATTCCCAGAGTGTGGACTTTTCATGAGCTGTGAATTCAATAGAGATCCATATGTCACACTTTTTAATTAAGTTGCATGGTGGATCTGGAAATTATACTTATCGTTTCCTTTGACGCGTTCATAGCTCATCTAACAGGCTACTTTGAAGGATCATGTGTACAGTATTTTTATTCTGTTTTGTTTTCAATAAATCGAATACTGTTCTCATGACTGAACGGATGTGTTTACAGTATACCTTGGGCACAAAATAAAAGCGCAAGAAACAAAAAAAAGTCCTTGTTGACCAGCGTTGACCAGCAACCAGGCCTGTGCACGTCAAACCAGATGCGATTAATAATAAAGGATTCAAAATGTATAACTCACGCACCCATACCCCACCCCTCCTTGTCAACACGAATCTACGGACTCGACTCGTGTCGTCAGCGGCTGTCGAAGCAGCTCTAATAACGAATGACGTGCAATATGTTGGTTCACCCTCACGGGGGCGCTGGACTTGATACTGTCTCCACTCTACCCTGTACATCTCTTGAGGGCGCAGGAGATCTTTGGGAGACTGCGGCCGAGGCGTGATTTGATAGGGAGCTCCCTCTTTTAAGAGTGCTCCACCCAGAGTGCGTACATGCGTGAAGGTGCCTAAGTGACACATTTCAGTCGTCGAGAGACTCTGCGCAGCCTAAAAAGTGCACAACTGTGTACCCTTTTGTGACTTAAGCGCATGGAAGATTATGCCTCCAAGTGTCTCAAGTGTGTCATTCCACGCAATGTTGCTGAACCCGACTGGAATGGACCATGGTAAAAAAAATGAAGGTTGGTGACTCACACGTGCACAATGAGCGATTTACCCCTGCAATCCTAAAAATATGCTGAAATGAGAAACCGCGACCCAGTATTGGATTTTAAATCTCCACATAGTGCATATTGTACTGTATTGCATGTGTTCAACCACAAAAACATGGTGTGATTGTCAAGGACGAAGCAGATTAGGGGTTGGCAGCCATCACGTGTCGAAACGTAATACACGACGTGGAGGTTTGGGGGATGTACGACGTTGTGGGGGAATGACGGCTGTTATGTGCCTAATTGTATGGACGGCGGGGTGAGGATGGTTTGCGCAATAGATGTCTCACTATGAAAATTAATCGCCGACAACGAGGGGTGGGGGGGCGACCATCACACAATTCGACGAGCCCTATTTTCCTGAAATTCCCAATGGCCAGCACATCCCTGTGCTTAACAGACAACAGTAAAAGCCAGATTCTCTTGCCAGTTGCAGTAGCACTGCTGTCAGTGTTAGCTGAGGAGGATGCAGTTGAGATGAAGTGAAGAGTCATACGAGCGATGCTTTTCATCACGGAGATGTGAGTATTAGAACAGTTAAAATGGTAGATTACAATGGAACCTTGGTGAATGAATTAAATGTGCTTTATGACTTTGTTCATGAAGCAAAATGTTTCCAAACAGAGGTCATGTTGCAATTTATCTGTTGAACCCTTGAACCAAGTTATATTTACCTTCTTTTGATTAATGTGTGGTTAAAAATAAACACTGTACATAGAAATAAGTGAAAACACACTTTATAGTGAAGAAATAAACATGGGGTATTTGCTTGCAAATCACTGTGCAATATCTGGGCCAGGGCTGCCGCTGCCATAACGCAGATGACACGCTGCACGCCGGGCCCTATCATTCATGAGGGGCACCACTTTGTTCCCCCTGTTGACAAAATACTGTAGTTTTGGTGCATGAGAAACTGGCATTCGAATGGTCTACACATCTTTGTCAGTCACCGTTGTCATTATGTTATGTAAGCACCCCTCCCACCACCACCACCAGTTTACTTATCGTCGTCAGGTGAAATTTCACTCAGCAGCTCCCATCCACCACCACCCCTTTCTATTTGGTTAGCAGCGGCCCTGGTCGTAGGCTTTTTGCATACCGTTCTATTTAGGTTTACCAAGGACACTGCATGCCCAAAATGGACACCCCATCCCATAATAGTATTACAATACTAATGTTAGCATTATTACAATGACTTGTAAGTGTGCGGTGATGTATAAATGTACATTAACTGTACACTGCGAGTGCTCGCTCTATCACGACTGTTCATGAACCGAAAATAGTGCCAGAATGGGGGTCATATTTCTTCGACAATTTTGTTTGTAAACCAAATATTTTGTAAAATGGGTCATTAGTAGATTTTACACTACATATTTGCAGCAAATCCACACTTATTTTCAATCAGGGGTGGCGCTATACCCGGGCTAAATAGGGCTGTAGCCCCGTCATAAATTGGTGTACCCCAGTTAAGCCCCTCCAGCATTTTATTTGATATCCTGTAATGTATTGAGAAATTATTTTCTCTGACCCCTTATGTATATGGCAAACTATGCTTCAGCCACGCGGCAGAGAAAAATTCCTGGAGCAGTGCCTGTTCACAATGATTGGCAAAGAGAGAATGTCAGCTTTTCAGTTGGTCCATCTTTTATTCAAAGTTCTTTCAATTTACTTTCATCTTTACATTTGTGTTCTCATCCGCACCTAACTCACTAGCAGATGTACATGTTTTCATCATAACCAAACTAAAACTACTTCTTGCTTCTGGGACGAAGAATTGTGGGAAATGCAGTCCTACTGGTGCAGCCCAAATAATTTAGATCCATCCATCCATTTTCTAATCCGCTTATCCTCACGAGGGCTGTGGGCGTGCTGGAACCTATCCCAGCTGTCTAGGGGCAGTAGGCGGGGTACACCCTGAACTGGTTGCCAGCCAATCGCAGGGTACACATAGACAAACCACCATTCACGTTCACAATCACACTTAGGGACAATTTGGAGTGCAAAACAACCTGCCATGCATGTTTTGGGGGAGGGAACCGGAGTAACCTGGAGAAAACCTATGCAGGCACGGGGAGAGCATGCAAACTCCTCACAGGCAGGCCAGAGCCGGAACCAAACCCTGCACCTCTGCATTGTGGGGCCGGCATGCTCACCAGTCGACCACAGTGCCATCCTATAATTTACATCTGTCTACAAATTATGAAATATTCTCAAAATATACAATCTTAATCACGCAAAAGCTATCAAATAGGCATACAATTAAAACCAACTGTTTATCATAATATACTTCACAAAAGAAGTGTCAACAGTATCAAAGTCTCTGTACAGTGGAAATAAATGTTTCTAATAAATTCGGCACATCACAGAGAGGACTGTTGTTAACAACCCTGCCAAATTTGAACGATTAAAAAAATGGAGGCTTCAAAATTGTGAAAAATCAAGCTGCTGTTTCTCAAACGCTGTGGGCGTGTCCAGTGAATGTGTGTGTGTGTGTGTGTGTGTGTGTGTGTGTGTGTGTGTGTGTGTGTGTGTGTGTGTGTGTGTGTGTGTGTGTGAAACCACACTCTGTTGAAAAATGGATGCATCTCTCGTACCTCAACACATCCCAACGTGTGTGCCAGAAAAAATATATATCATCAGAAAGCTTGAGTGTTATTGGAATATATTCCACTTCGTGGTCGTGGGGCTATCCATGCTACGACGACAGGCACTAGCCCCTCGCTAGTTCTCACGATAACTGGCTTCCGGGGCACTTCTTCGCTGGCGGACGGGTGGTGGGCTCGTCCGCAGCGTCACCTTCTCGCTTGAGAATTTAGATAACGACAACGAATTGTTCTATAAATGGTTGCATTCAGTGAATATGCATTTTCAGAGTGTATGCATAGCTTGCTAGCTAACTGCACGCTGCAGTGGTGGGAATGGAACAACTAAGTAACTCGCAGTGGCACCGGTTAACCACTTACTATATGTGAACGAAGTCGCTCAAGTCACTCCGCACCGTTTTAGCCACCCCCCCCCCCCAATCAGGAAAACTGAAATGATGAAAAACTGTTTCAAATTATATCTCCACAATTCCTTGCTACTTACTTTTCAGTCTTTGCATGCGTTTTCATAAATTACCTGAAATGTACTCTGAAACAAATCACTCTGCAGGGTCTTGTGATGATTATTGTACCAATCAATTATGGTAAAAGTGTTTAGAGAATTAACTTGTTAGCTAGATAATAATCCTCAAAAACGTTTTACGGACTTTACCTATTCCGACGAATTGGAGAATTTTCTCAAATTCATATTTTTTTCTTGATGAGATATTAATACACAAAATCTTTGCTGCACACGAATGTGGAGGTGCCTATGACTGGGTTTCCCTGCATTTGAGCTTCCAAATAATCAAATAAGCCCCGGACTGTATGTGGAGTTCCCATCAGGTAAGCACTGTATGCAAGCGTGTGCGGTCCACCTTGACGGGATTACCCCTCCCGAGAACATAAGAATAGAAACCCACCGAGCTCCAGTCTGTTTGTTCAATTCACCTGTAGGGCCTCAATCAGGCGCTAGGACCCAGGGTGCGCGATTCTCATCTCCAGCTGCTGCAGACCCAAAGCTCGGGCAATAAGCGAAGATCGCGAGGACAAGCAACAACAACAACAAAAAACATTTTGGGGGGAAGCACCACCTCTATTAATTTTTAGCGGAGAAACAACCCGGCTCAGAAGCCCCCCTCCCCTCTCTCTCCGCGGACGACGGCTCGCTTGTTGCGCCGTGTGCACACGCAGGCTTTGCGGCTGCACACAGCTCGGAGCGCCAAGGTAAGAAGACGGCGCAATAGCGTGCGATTACTAATAACAAAGGCGTTACGGGTAGGGGTGGGGGGCGCACATTGCACAAGGAGATCGGCGACGAGTCCAAACTCTGACAAACTTTGACCTGATTGTGTTTTCATTGTTGTCGTCCCCCCGTTTTACCCTCTCCCCGGCGACGTCTCGCTGCTATCCCGCGGCATTGTGTGTAGAGGGCTCACACACAAGAGCAAGTTGGGATGACACGGCGTGTGTCTGCAAAGGCGAATGTGTTGGGAGGTACGTGGTTAGATTAGGGGGGCTCCTCAAACTACACGAGAAGTCATGCATTCAGGTGCCCAGCTTTTTTTGACATCATGTGAACGAGCGATGCATTATTAACCCCGGCGAACGAACACATCAAGCCTTCCTTCCTGATGTATTTAATGACTTGAGCCAAAATGGATACCCAGTTGCCCCCCTCCAGGTGAACTTATACGGGACATCCTCGTTTGGTGAAGCCATGGCGGCCTAAAATAGTCTCACGAGAAAGGAAGCGGGGGGGGGGTAGTTTGAAGGCGAGTGTCTTGTCCCTAAAACACACACATAGGCCCTTAGCGATAAACATATACGCTGAAATGCACTATTTTTGCACTTCCGACGTCCTCATTCTATGCCGAGTCACAGGTCGCCCAAGCCCCGGAGTGGGCGCTCACTGCCGGGAAGAGTGATACCGCTTGCCCCGGTCGGTGGCGGCGAAGCTCTCGATCCGTGATGTGTTTGTGTGAGTGTGGCACTCCCGACGCTTCCACCGTGCTCCGTTTTTCTTTCCCAGTCGCCTCCCTTTTTGTTAATAAATGTCCCTTCCTCTTTCGTTTTTTTTTTTATCATAAAAGCGGGGGTTGCCATGTCCCCATTGGGCAATCTGTCAGCGGTGTGGCTGGCCGACTGTGCGCAGCCATTACTGGGCAAATGACGAAGGGCATGTCGGAGAGGCTCCCACATGCCGATGATCCACGCAGCCAAATAGTTTCAGCTCGGACCGCTGGCTTGAGCGTTGCCCCTCACCCGACACCAACTGCACCGCCTCAACACCAGGCTGGATGCAAACACAAAACAAGCCCCCGAAAACCTATCACTCCCTCGTGTGTGTATTTGTCTAGTTACCCACTAAGTGTTGAGAAATATAGGAAATGCCTTGAAGAAGTTGATCCAGGCCTTTGGTATAATGAGACAAGTGGCCTAGTTTCAGCTAGGACTGCTTAAACACCGAGACAAAATGTGATTATGGACGGAGATGGTCATACGTAGTACTAATTATTGTCTTTATTATGTTTTTTTTTTTTTTTTTGAAAGACACGCAACCTGCAAGGGCAACTGTTCTTTCCTGGTGTTTGTTGCAGACTTGCTATCACAAGCCACACGCACACAAGCAAATGAGTCGGATCGAAAAGTATGCCCTTTTAAAGATGATATTTGTCACTTTTAACCTTGCAGGGTAGCATGTCTGCCACACATTTCTGAGGTAAGAATAATTTGAATCATTTATCTGTGTTTAACACCTTGTGTAAATCTGAATTTTAAAAAGAAAACAATTGAAATTTTGTAAAGAGACACTGAAGAAAAATCAAATTTTACAATCCCCACATGAAGTGAATAGTAAAAACAAAACAAAACAACATGAGTAAGTGAGGCCTTCCCTCCAAATTTTAGTTTTTGGCCATTAAAATATACCACAAACCTTGACACCAAAACATTTCAATGCCATTTCAAACTCATCTTACAAAATTACCCTTGAAAAATAAAAGAATTATAGATGGTTTGCTTTTGAGAAAAAAAATGAACTGGAGGTGTGCATGTAAATGTCAAGACTCTCCATTAATTGCACCAACAACCCAGGCTAAACCTCTCCGACGTAAAACGCTTGTCTCTCAGTCAAGATGGACCTGCAACTTTAATGTACGTCCAAGTTACCACACGATGTAGACAGGGCTTTGTGACATCTATCCATCCATTTTCTGATCCGCTTATCCTCACGAGGGTTCTGGGGTGTGATGAAGCCTGTCCCAGTCTTCGGGCATTAGGTGAAGTACACCCTGAACTGGTTGCCAGCCAATCGCAGGGCACACAGAGACGAACAACCATCCGCGCTCACACTCACACCTAGGGACAATTTAGAGTGTTCAATCAGCCTGCCATGCATGTTTTTGGAATGTGGGAGGAAACCAGTGTACCCAGAGAAAACCCACGCAGGCACGGGGAGAATATGCAAATGTATAGAACACCGCACCGCTGCACTGTGAGACTGACACGCTAACCAGTCGTCCACCAGGCTGCCGGTTTTGTGACATATAAAAATCTATCTTAATATAAGCGGCATGATGGTCGACTGCTGAGCCCAGGGGTGTCAAACATACGGCCCGCGGGCCAGAACTGGGCCCCAAGGAGGTTCGATCCGGCCCGCGGGATCATTTAAAAGTGAAAAAAATGCATTAAAGACACAGAATGAATATTTTAAATAAAATGCAATTCGTGGATTATCCGCGAGGGGGCACACTGTTTTGATCACAGTAGAAGACAACATTGTTTTGATCGGGGAAGAAAACAGCAGTCTCAGTCTGTCACCGAGATAGACCCAACGCAGCAAATGATATTAAAGCGCCAATCAATCCTTCTTGAGACCAAAACAAAGGAAAGAGATGATATTTTGGTGATTCATAGCACAGTATGGTATAATGTTAATGGTTCGGCGCACTTGACATCGACCGAGTCCGTATGTGGCCCACAATGTGAAATGAGTTTGACACCCCTGGCCTAGCCCATCTGCTTCACAGTACAGATGTCCAGGTTTCGACTCCAGGCTCCAGCCTTCCTTGGTGGAGTTTGCATGTTCTCCACCTGTGTAGGTTTTCTCCGGGTACCCCGGTTTCCTCCCACATTCCAAAAACATGCATGGTATTGATTGAACCCTCTAACTTGTCCTTAACTTGGCCGGCTGACAACCAGTTCAGGGTGTACCCTGCCTACTGCTCGAAGTCAGCTGGAATAGGCTACAGCAGTGGTTCTTAACCTGGGTTTGATCGAACCCTAGGGGTTCGGTGAATCGGTCTCAGGGGTTCGACGGAGCCTCTGCCATGGAGGTTAAGACACACCCAACTCAACATGTCAATTAGTTATGACACACTCGCTTGGCCATCAGTGGCTGGTTCATTTTGTGCACAATTAAACAAACTTATACTTATGTCTTGAAATTTTATTTGTTTTTTTTTTCAATTTTTAATAAATGTGCTTTTTATGTCTTGAATTTGTAAAAAAAAAAAAAAAAAAATCATATTTTTATTTTTCGCTCATGAAAATTTCGGTGAATGTGCATATGAACTGGTTGGGTTCGGTACCTCTAACAAGGTTAAGAACCACTGGGCTACAGCATGCCTGCGACCCCCC